CTCGTCAAAGGTCACATCCTTTGCTCTGTTGGACAGAGCATGTGCAATCTTGAAAGTCTGTTATAGCAAAATGAGGTTTTAATTTAATTCCCGAGTATTCTGTGTGACTTCACTGCTGAGAGTAAATGGTGTTTACGTGGGAAGTAAATGTCACTGCAGACGCACTGTCCTTGGTCTGCTGGCCTGTGAGCTGTACCATGGATCAGAGCTGATACTCCCATTAATTTAAAAATTACAGACACGAGGCTTGGTGCAGATACACAACCTTGTACTCACCTTTGTTAAACTTTACACAGTCCTTGCTGGAGAACAGCAGGAAACCTCAGCTGTCTCTGGGAGAAACCATCACGTCATTGTTCTGCTCTTGTTACCAAACTACTTTTAGAAATTTGGTAATTCTGTATAAAAACAAGATGTCCTGATGTCTGTTAAAGAAAAAGACAATGAAATCACGTACTCTTTGTAAGTACACTCTTTATTATGTAAGAGGAGAAAGGACAGGTTTGGGGCTTGCAGAGGTTTTYGAAGTTTCTCTGGTTTGGCAGCAGGAGTGCTGCTGTCCCTTGCTTTGGTGCTAGGTTGGCTGCACCCATGAAATGGATGGAAAAAACCAAGTTCCTTGTGGACCTTTGGACTCTTCACCTCAGGATTGTTTTCAAGGCTGCTGTGGGGAAAGTTTAGTATTTTGTGCATGTAATATTTTATTAAATGTTACTCAGTACTGGTTTTTACACTTCCATGTCCTCTCCCCCCACCTCCCCTCTTTTCTGGCTGAGCTGGCTATGTTCTGGCAAATGGGATGGGATCACCCTGTGAACTCTCTCCCATAATTTCACATACCTTTAACAAAAACAAATCTAGTACTTCTGTGTTAGTGTGGCCTGGCAGGGTGATGATAACATTAGGATGAGCTTCTGAAGGATTTAGTCTTTTTTTCTCTGCTTTTTCTTATTGCAATTTGCAATATCTTTAAAAATTCCTTGTTGATCCAGCATTTTTTTGTGTAATCACCAACTGTGTTTTCCTGACTCTGTGGGAGTGCAGAACTGTAGGTAGCTGTGCTGGCCATAACTTCTATTTTCTTAACTTTCTTTCTTATGCAGCTCTGAATTGCAGTGTGGCATTCCAGCAGGGGGTTTGGTCCTAAATATCCCTTTGTTGRGAAAGGTCAGTCACAAGGATGTGCTGGCACTGATGCAAGGACAGTCTGTGCCAGCATATCAGATGCACTCATATTCCAATTCCAGATTATCCTTTCTTGTGAAAAAATGAAATTGTTGTGGTTTAAAGTGGCAACTAAATAGTCTATTGGAGTGTTTATCAGAATGTSGTGGTTGTTTGGGGTTTTCCTGTCTGTGGGTGCTGGGGCACACATTTAGCCAGAAGATATTGCAGATACATATTTCTGCATCTGAAAGCATCTGAGGTAGGCATAGGTAAATGCTGCTATATTGAACTTGTTTCCCAGTGCGTGATTTCGGAAGATATTGATGCGATTGTAACAAGAGTTTCCAAGTTTCAGAAAAAATAGTCTTAGTCACCAATAGTTAAGACAATTTTATGTCACTTGCAGCAACTTCCCTGCCATGACCAGCGAGTCCTTCCCGTGTCCGCTGTCRTGTTGGTACAGAAACATCTTCTCTGTGCCTTGCTGCCTAGTGAGCTCTGCAAGAAAGAACAATCACTTTGGGTAATAAAAATGACATACAAAAGACAGAAGCTGTGATTTATTTTGGGAGATCGAGTAGAGTGGCAAGCAGTACTTTAAAGGTCACTTGTCTCAAATAAACCTTATCTCTCGCTCAAATTTAAAGAGATACTGCGATGTTTCCTTGCATCCAACTTGCATTAAATGTCTTTTGCAAGAATATATTGCAGAGTCCAGCAGGAGCATTGTGCATACCCATGTGCTTTATGGGTGGTGGAAATAAAGGGGAGTGCTGGCAGGGGGTTTGAAGAGCAGTTTGATTAATTAGTTGATTAGAAATATTCCTTTGGGAAGGCYGGCAGTGCTTTCAGTTGGTCTTCAATAGGTTTTTGTGAAAATGGCATACAAAATATATGCACAGCCTGTTTGAGAGCCGTGTCTTGTTCCATCAGTGMTTAGAATTAGAGAATAACGGAATGATTTATGTTGGGAGGGACTTGAAAGCTCAGCTCATTCCAACTGCCTGCAATGGGCAGGGACACCTTCCACTAGATCAGGTAGGGCCCCACTTCCCAGTATAGGTATGGGAAACAGTATTCATCTTAAGAATCTTAAAATCTCAACTAAATTAGAGAAGCCAGGCTGTATGTGGCAGAGTGTGTGGGTGCTGGGATGTCTGAGCCAAAACAGGCTTTAAAAGCACCAGTTTTTAGTAAAGGGCAGGCACCTGCCTTTGTTCTCYTGGGAAATCCCACAGAATTGGTTCTGCTCTTGGTCCTGCTCACTGTTTTATTGGCGCTGTTTTGAAGGTTTGAGAATCTGGATAGAAGGGAGCTTAAATTAGATTTCCTTGTGTYTGTGTTACCACAGTCAGCGTGGGTTTTGCTCATGGACTAAAAGATTGGAGCTAAAGCCGGAGCTGTTTATTGGAATGGGGAGGTGATGAAGGTGGGGACAGGCTGAGGAGTTCACAGCAAACCTGTGGTCTTTAAGCTAGAGACAGTGAATCTGTGTGGGCTGGTTTGTTCTGTGATTTCCTAAACCTCCTGGATTTTTCAGTTCCTCTGCCCTTCAGCATCTCAGCACTGCCAGCAGCCCTGCCCTGTCCATTTTCCAGTGAGTGCTGTGGCACTGCTGGATGTGCCCTCCCTGGAACATCCCTCCACAGGAGCATCCTCCACAGGAGCATCCTCCACAGGAGCATCCTCCAAAAGAACATCCTCCACAGGAGCATCCTCTACGGGAGCATCCTCCACAGTAACATTCTCCCCCCACACTGCAGGATCATCGGGGAAATGTCCGTGTCCAGGTGTCCGAGGCTTTAGGGAGGAGAATGTGCCACTCGCTGCCTCGTGCCCATCAGAAGTGGAGCCTGGAGAGTGCTGTTCTGTTGTGGCACAGGATTCTGTAGGCAGTGTGTCATTTAGATTCCAGAAGTAAYCAGCCAGTGCTTCAGACCAGAATTTAATCAGAATTACATCTCAGCTTCACTGTTGCACTTTTTGTTGTAGTTGAGAGGTCACGTCTCAGTGTACACCAGCTCTTCCCATGTGCTGACAGAGAGGTTACCTGCTGGCCACTGGATTGGATTTTGYCACCTGAGTGCTTTGACCTTTTTGCTGTTCCTGAATCCTGAAAATAAGTATTTTCAGCCTGTCAGACTTTTTCTGGTGGCTAAACATAGGCTTCAAAGTGCTTTGGATTTAGACCGAATTCACTACAGCTTAAATCAAGTTCCCTAACACTAATTCAGCGGTACCCCTTTTCCTTCCCCCTGCTTCTTGGATGGGGTTTTGGTGTGATTTTCTGAGAGTTGAGCAACCTTCTGCTTTTCAGACTTTCTCCTTTTTTGTGTGACAATAGATATGATTTTGTAGTTGAATATTTTATACTTTTTTTTGGTAGCAAAAATCAAAGCTAGAGGAAGGGAAAAATTAAGATGGTGAGAGAATATTGTATTCTTTCTTAATCCRTATGGATGATTGGGTTTGAGTAGTGATTGCCAATGAGAATATCAATGGGAGTTGCAAGGGATGCAAAATCCCCTATGTTCCTCGTTACAGTTTTGATAGTAAAATTATGTTACATTGTCAGAGGGTCTCAACATTGCTTTTTTTCTGGGTGTGGGGAAGGTTTGGCAAGACCTGTGGTGCCACTTACGTTTTCAGAAAATATGTGAACTGGTATTTGGTAAAGTGCTTCTCTTGTGTTCTCTTCAAATAATGGACATGGAATTGTGACTCTGAATCAAAACCTGTATATCACTTCTCTTAAGTTTAGGTAGTATTTATAAAACTGATACCAGATCAACAATATTTTACAGTACTGTCCTTTAATTTGTAGGACTGAATAKCTGGTGGCTGACATGACTATGTAGAATTTTGTTTGTTTATAGAAGAAATATTTTCATTTTGTTCACAACACTTGATTCTGTCGGAGTAGTTTTGGACTTTTTGTACATCAGAACTTTTAAAAAAAGAAATAGTGTATAACTTTTATAAATTATAAAAACACCTAGAGAATCTATGATTCCTTGATACAGTGTTCTTTTTATATAGTTGAGTATAATTTTTGAAAATATTGGAAGTATATGTGGCAAAAAATAAACCAGCARCTGAATTAAAGGACTGTTTATTTGATAGTATTCCATGCAGCTCTGAGTCTTCAAAAGCTACTGCTGGTGTTTTTCAGTGGAAAGAATATGTTGTGAACTTGAGTTATGCACTAAAATTTATATAACTGTATGTGTGTTCATTTATAAATAGATTATAAAATAGGGGTGCCGCTGTACATAGCTGTATCAAAAAAATGTGTAATATTCTTCCTGTGTACTCCTTTCCTTAAAGAAAATTCAAAGGCCATTACAGACTAAACCTTTTGTTTAGTTTGCATTGCTTTCTGTTCTACATTGATATTTTCTAAAGGTTATTCCTGAGCTCTGGGGTGCATAAATTGAATTTATAAAGAGGAATCCTGCTTCATAATGGATTGCAACGTCAGCTAATGTTAAATACTRTGGGCTGTTTGGCCATCGTCATATATTTGTCATCTTGGGGTATATCACTTAACTGTAAATATCCCAGACATTTSTTTTATAGAAAGGTGCATTGTTTTCCATCAGTTTTATAAAATACGAAGTGTGATTGGGCCAGCTTGAACTAAATGATTTTTTTTTTCCTAATGTAGGTCAAATTACGGATTCAAATTCAGTTTGATTTTGATTTAATAATTCAACAATACAAATTCGAATGCATGGCCGAAGTTTTATGACAAACTTTGCCTTCAAATCAGACTTACACRTCTTGTTTTCCTTTCTTTTTCCTGCCTTTCCCCAAATCCATTTCATGTACAGCTTCCAGCTGACCTTACCAAGATGCATCTCACGGACAATCCTCATCCTCAGGTGACTCACGTCCCCTCCAGCCAGTCGGGGTGTAGCATTGCCAGTGACTCTGGGAGCAGCAGCCTGTCTGATATTTATCAGGTAAGACTGCWTTGGTTTCATATTCTCCTTCCTTGATGTTAACTRTTCCATAAACAGRAAGAGTGACCCTTTATCCAAGATTYTGGGTAAAACCTTGGTGCTTTCAGGTATCCCTGTGCTGCCYGTGGGACTCGCCRTTCCCACAGATACAGAAATGCAACAAGCWGCTTGTAAAGCTCTTCTTGTTGCTTTTCACATCTTTCTGTACCATCAAGTATGCTGTGGCTTTTAAAAGTCACATTTGTTGATTTATGGGATCATTTTTCTTTCTGAAATGGAACAAATCTCATGAAATCAGMCTTGTGTTTCCAATACCTTCCTTGATGATTTGTATTTATTGCTAATAGCAGATGTTCAGTTTTGCAAACAAAAGCATGATAATAAACCCACTTTCTGCACTAATTGACTGTGGAAATTCTAGTGTGGCTTGCTGAGAACAGAAGTTGGCTGAAATCCAGAGATAGATTCATTTGTTTACAGATAATACACTTAATAAGTTACCTGTTCTTGTGTTAAATCACAGAGCTYGTTTCATGGGTATTTATATTCTGGTTGATGAGGGGGCTCAGCTTGGGTTTGTGTTGATCAGTGATTTCACAGCTTTTTCTCTTCCAAGTTGCAGTCTGACTACAGTACAGAGCGTGGAGCAGTTGTTGAGCACAGTGTAGGTGTAACTTGATTTTAGACACCTGTTCCTTCTCCTTRGGTCCTGTCTGGATATTATTTCTATACAGATTAATGGTATCTATTTATAGCAATATATTGCTTAGGGAATTTTAAAAATAAGACATTAAAGCAAAAATTCCTTAAGCACATTAGAAGTGTCTCTGCATTTTTGTCCTATTTAATCTACTCCCTTACTGCTTCTTTGGATTTGCTTGCTGCCAGCTAGGTCAGGAGTAGCTGGCACCCCTGAGAGTCTCTCCAAGATGCTTCTTGAATTTTCTTATTTCTGAGAGGCTGTGCTGGAAGATGGTGTTCTGAATCTTGATTCTTTTTACTGTTTTTGTATTTTCTGAATCAAAATTACATCAGAACTGATGTTAGGGTTGAGAGAGTCGAAGAGCCTGCAGCTCAAGGGACACTGGGGCTGGAAAAGCATTGCAAGGGCATCATGTGAGGGCAGAGTGCCAGCACTGCCTACCTGAATAGTTTGGGGAGGTTGCTCCAAGTGAAAAGCACTTAAAATATATTATTGATAACAAAGATACTGCTCTAGCAATGAAATCTTGTAATGAGTGAATGCTCCATCGTGTGTGGTTAATTGCCTTATGTCTACTCATCAAAAATGACAAAAGAGCATAATTGCTAAACAAATAAAATTATATAAATAAAGGAAATGATAGAGTAACATTTATATGCACTGTAGCAAATAAACAGTGACTGGAGATTTTATATTAATTTTTAGAAATTAGGACTTTTCAGGTAAGAATTTTCTTTTCAGGGACATTCACTTGTTTGGTTTTGGATCCTGAAGAAAACAGGGACATCTGTTAGAGAATTCCTAGCTGGCCAGTTTGATGCTGAGGCCGGTCACCATGTCAGACTTGAGTGAGATCTTGAAAGATAATTTTACAGCTGTGTATGGTCAGAACTGCAGTGACATTAAACCTGAAAGATAGCATTAGAGAATCAAGCATTTGATAAGCTGTGTGTGAAAAGAAGACATGCAACAGACATGTTATGAGGGGGTGAAAATCCTCAACAACCCACAGTGATCTTTCTCCCCCTTATTTTTTCAGTCAGTTTTTAGTATCTTGTTCTCATATAGCTAATGTGCAAACAGTAACCTCTTAAAAGATGCATTTTATGTGCATTTATGTATTTTATGGGTTTTATTGCAGTAGCTGTAACAGTTAGTGTTGGAAAAGTCTTTTACTGTTTGTCACAAATCTGTAAGTGATCACYAGATATTGCTTAGCAGTTGATAGATGTTGTGTAATAATGCCATGGCACAATATTTAACACAGCATTATATTGCAGCAACACATCAATATAGACAGATTTGGAAATCACTAAAAAGAAAACTGTTTTCCCCCAATATTCATCATATTATGAAGGTAGAGAATATCTCTAATATGTAATAAACCTACTTTTTGAGTGTATTAGGTCAGTAATTGAAAGCATTTTTGGTACAAAAAAACCCAGCTTTTCAGAAAGTATTTGGAAAATGATGCTTTGCTTTTGCTGTCAGCTTCATATCTATTACATGCCAAGSTCTTTAGGAGTATCATTAATTTCATTAATATTCTGAGTAATTTTGATTATTGTAGCCTTGAAATGAGCTTTTGAATTAATGGTATCTTAACATTAATTTTTACAGTAAGKAGTACAAACATCATTCCAGAATCGTAAAACATGATTAGAATGGTAGAACCAAAGAATGAAACAATGTTTTATTAAGATTTGGAAAGATTTTCTCTTCATCTGTGTGTACTGCGTTCATCAATGGTGTGGAAATGAGGTTTCACTTGTTCCAGCTGCCTCTCAGCCCAGGTTAAAGCCCATTTCCAGTTAAACAGGAAATGATGAATATAAAGCTTAAGGTGAGATCAGCAGAAGAGGATTCATGCCTGTAAGCTCTGCCGTGGAGACTTTGTGTTAAACCCTGAATTAGGTWAAAAAGTGATGAATATTTGTGAGGGTGTTTTTATCTCTTGTCCTGGACTGTTGCTACTCCCTGTAGGAGATTTCAGTGTTTTGGTGTCTGAAAGATGAGCACCAAAGTGTCCAAATGTCCAGCTTACTTGGAATGCTGCAGAGCAGTTGTCTTTCTGTTGCACTGTAGACCTTTTTTAACTATAGAAATTAAGTTGTTCCTTACAATACGTGACTACTTGCCTGAAGAGGATTTTAAAATTTTTATTTTTTCTTTCAACCCCTTGCTGGCAGTAATGTTTCATTTCAGAACTATGGTCTTCAGCCAGAAGTAGSGGGAGCTGTGTGGTGGTGCACACAGCAGTTGAAATGCAGGCTTGTACAGGTGCTTTGACCTGTTAGAGGGGTCCTCAGGGAAAAAGAATTCAGCAGGTATTGCACAGGGAAAACACCTTTCTTTGCCCTTTCATGGAACAGMTTTAAGGTGCCCAGCCAGAGTCACACAGAGAATCCAGGTTGTCTCTCTAGGTGTGGGTGGGCTGGGTTTCACCTCTGCTCTCACAAATGAGTTTCCTGTATTGATACCTGGCAATCATCTTCTCTTAATGACCAACCAGTTTGCATCATTTTTTTCCTAGCTCGTTTAGTTCTGTCAGTGGTGTGCTGAAAGTTTCTCTCTCCCTTTCACTTCTTTCAAAATCTTTCATTTATCACTTTGGCAGTATGTTCTCTTTKTGGGCAGCAACATCATTGTCCAGCAGTAATTCCCATTGTGGTTAAGGCTTCAATATTAAAATGGATTATCCATAAAATATTCATCAAGGATGAGTATCTCAGTAGATACTCCTATGTCACGGACCTGATCCTGGAAATCCACATTTGTGTGAGATTTGAGGATCGCAGCTTCTGGTTTCATTTTGTAAATCACTAGTTCATARATGTTTCTGTTAGGAGTGATTTTGATATTTGATAATGGAAACAGCTGGAGCACAATGGCTGGGAAGAGCAGCTCCTTCCGCAGACGGCTTTATGAGCAAAATCCTTCCTGTTCCTTCCAGCACTGCCTGACCTGCCAACGTTCTGTCAGCCATCTGCACGGAATCTTGGAAACACAGTTGGAGGACCCGCTCCTATTTCATAGATGGATCAAAACAAGATTTATTTACCAGGAAATGAGCTGATTTGTCAATTTTCCTATATAGGATATACAAAATTTGGGGAACCTGTAGCCCCAGATTTTCTGGTTTAGCATGGGCTTATCAAAGTGAGGATTGGTGTTTTTGTCTGTCTTATTCAGCCTGGAGAAGTTGGGATGAATTGTGTCTATTTAGATGAAGAAATGCTAGAAAAGTCCTTGAATAAAACACTGTACTGATCATGTGCTGCTGAGACTCTCCAAGCACAATTTGCGCTTGGGCTTAATTCCAAAATTGTTAATGTGAGCTACAGAAGCCAGTAAAGTGATGTAATGTAAAACAGATTTAACCCTCTCTATATTGTTACCCTMTTCTGAAAGAATATTTTTGTTAAATCATTTAAACTTTATTTATTAGGTTTGCTGGCTAATTACTAAAATGAGGACAAGGTCCAAGGCCCAAGGTTCTACCTAAACCCCAATATTTTTTTGTCTAGTGCAGGGAGACAAAGCTGTTCCTCTGTGCAAGTATTGGGGCTCACATCAGCATGGAGTGTGTAGGGAGGTGGAGACAACGCAGTCTGCTGTGATTAAATCACTTAAAATGAATATTGTTTGATGTGAGGCCATGAGGGCAGGAGAGTGGTGTTGTCAAGTAAGGATGTCCTGGTCAAAATAAGGCACAAGAAGGAAATGCATGCAGTGGAACCAGGGACGTGTCCTKGGAGGGATATAGGGACACTGCCCAGATGTGTAGGGTTGGGATAAAGAATGGTGAGGCTCAGTTGGAGCTGGATTTGGTGAGRGATGTGACAAAAACCAGAAGGGCTTCTACAGGTACATTAGTCAGAAAAAAAAAAAGAGAGATTATGCTTCACTCCCCCACTAAATAAGGCAGGAGATAATGACATGGAGAACGYTGAGGCACTCAGCAATTTCTGGCTCAGTTTGCACAGGTTGCTCTCTTCWCATCTCTCAGCTCCCTGAACATCCAGGCAGGGATTGGGGGAACAAAGTCCCTCCCATGGGAAGAGAAGGTTGGGTTTGGGACCACGTGAGGATCTGAACATGCACAAGTCCATGGGACCCAAGGCAATGCATCCCAGGGGCCTGAGGGACTTGGCTGATGGAACTGCTGAGGCTCTTTCCATCCTGGAAGGTCTTGGCAGTCATGTAAAGCCCTCAGAGACTGGAGAAAAGTGAGACTTCATTGCATCCTGTCAATACTTAAAAGCAGATTTATTAGAAAGACTTTTTACCATGTCCTGTAGTGGCAGGACAAGRGRCAKTRGTTTTAAACTGAAAAAGGGTAGATTTAAMTTGGATAAAGGGAAGAAAACCTTCCCTGTGAGGGTTTTGAGACCCTGGTACAAATTGTCCAGAGGAGCTGTGCTCTACCCCAGCACAGAGTTCAAATTCATTCTTTATTTGGGAGGTTTTGTGAACATGCAGAGTATTCAATGCCTTAGATAGCTCAGTATTTTTGTAAAATCTCAAGGATTTCTTTTAAAGTGAAAGTGAGTGTTGTAAATGTGCTCATTTAAAAACAAACTCCATTTTCTGCAAGTTTCTATATAATTGCCCTATACTTTGCAGTGACACATCCTGTTGTTCAAATTTTTGAATTTAAACAGAAAAATGATTTGCATGCTGGCTTAAGCTTTAAAAAAAGTGACTGAGCAACTACTCTGTAGAAACTGAGAATCTGAAGCTACTTTTTTTCCCCCTTCCATCTGTTTAGAAATTTATTTTCATGCCATTACATCATTTAAACTTTACAGAAGGAATTAGTGCACATGATTCCTATATGATTCTACTTTTTGATGCTGGTGTTCTGTTCTCTTTCATGGTGGTCTCGTGTGTCTGCTCAGTGTGATGTCTGTGTTGCTGTTTATTACTGACAGTAGAAATGTGTCCACAGGCATTGGCTAACCAGTGGTGTTATTAAACTATATTATCATTATTTTGTTAATAGTGTAGACTCAAATTGTGAAAAAACAATGTTATATGAATTCACAAGAAATGTAAACGGTGTAAAATGAGAATCCGATAGATTTCAGAATAACATGTTTTCCTCAGTGTTCAGAAATGGAGATTCTAGTTTGACTTGTTGGTCGCAAGAATTTATTTTTTTTTTAATTAGCTACCTCAGATCTTAAATCACTGAACTGAAGACACTGAACTCTCTGTCTGATTGCTTTTTTCTTTGTAGGCTACAGAAAGTGAGATGGGAGATGTCGATTTAACGGGTCTTCCAGAAGCACCTGTAGACTCTGAAGATGAAGAAGAGGAGGAGGATGAAGATATTGACAGAACTTCTGATCCACTTCTGGGGCGAGATGTTGTCCGAGAGTGCCTTGAGAAAGAGCCTGCAGATAAAACTGATGATGACATTGGTGAGGAGAAAARTACAGTAGTAAAATTCACATAAAACTAAACATAATGTAACATCTGCAAGAGAAGCATAACTGAAAACTGTTTAATGAGTTCAATCTACATCTTAATTGGGTGATGTCTCACTTTGTTCTGCTGATACTCTTAATTGAATGATGTCTGTTCTTGCTATCCAAGAGAGTGTTTGTTCTGAGAATCTAAATATCTTGAGCAACAATCTTTGTGTATTTTGAGCAACAATCTTTGTGATGCTCAAGATGTGAGGTATTACRGTCATTGTGTGTGCTGATGCAGTGGGACAGGTAACAAGGTAATTTTGACTGCCTGAAACTGTTGAATTAGTTATTAAATAGCAAAGAGAACATGCTATTACTGAGTATAGGTATACTTAACTGTAAACTGCAAAACRGTTGATAATTTACTGCAGTGTTTAACTAGAAATTGGCATGAATTTCAACAGCAAAATTTGCTTTCTGCTGTACTTCAGATTGCATCTCTGAACACTGGAAAATCATTTCATGCTCCTGTATAGCTTATAATTACTTTACCTAAGGGTATTTTTAATTTTTCTAAATGTTTGAAGCTGAAGTGCTTTTACTTTTAGCTAGACTGCTGCCCTGAGAGTCAATCAGAACACCAGCAAGGCTGTGGAGCTGAGTTCTGGCTGTTGATGACAAAGTGCACACTGGGCTCATTTAGCCACAGGCACTAATGGGAAGTTAACACCACTGARCAATTTTCCCATGAATTTAACTGGGGTTTAATATACCTGTGGAGGGTAAGGAATCTGAGGAACCCCTGGGCCTTGCACTCGTCATACCAATGTTTCCTTTGTCCGACAGAGCAATTATTGGAATTTATGCATCAGCTGCCTGCCTTTGCGAACATGACCATGTCTGTGAGGAGGGAGCTGTGCTCAGTGATGATCTTTGAAGTCGTGGAGCAAGCAGGAGCCATCATACTTGAAGACGGCCAGGAGGTGAGTCCCTGCATCCAGCACGGGTGGTCACTCAGTGGTCAGGCTCCCAGCTCAGTGCCCTCAATCTCTGTTGTCTTAAAAATCTCTCTTCCTGCTTGGATCATGRCATCTGGAATGGCATTTGCTGTTCATCACTGCAGGAGGATGAACTGTTGATGAACTGTTCATGTAGACTCATCTCTGGTAGTGACCAAATGGGTACCCAGGAAAAGAGTGTTCATTCTGACTAAAAGGTACAAATATATGGTAGCAGTTAGCCTACTGATTAAGAAAGCAATCTATTCATCAGCATTCCTCCCTCCAGAATCAGTTCTGAAATGAAGAAAGCTGAAAAGCATTCTTGTTTCAGTCTCCATCTCTGGCCTCACAGTGCACAGTTTTGGTGAATTAAATGTTGCAGAGAGGTGGTGGCAATGAAYTGGAGACTCCATAAATGAACCTTTTTGAGATAAGAAGTTACAAAAGTTGCTGAATTAGCTTCACTTCTTAATTTTATTTTTTTTACTTCCTCTAGCTTGATTCTTGGTATGTTATTTTAAATGGCACAGTGGAAATCAGCTATCCTGATGGGAAGAGTGAGAGTCTCTGTATGGGAAATAGCTTTGGGATTACTCCCTCTCTGGAAAAGCAGTACATGAATGGAGTGGTCAGGACCAAAGTAGATGATTGTCAGGTAAAGTTGCAATTCTATACAACTTCTTTTAAAGCATCTTTTARAAGCAAACAGGTTGKAACAGGTCCAGAGGAGGCTACAAAGGTGCTCTGAGAGCTGGAGCCCCTCTKCTGTGGAGACAGGCTGGGAGAGTTGGGGCTGTTCATGGTGATGGGGATACATTCATGGTTTAGATATTTAACTCACAGTCTGTTGTCCTTGGGGACAGTTCGTGTGTATAGCCCAGCAAGACTACTGGAGGATTCTGAACCATGTGGAAAAGAACACTCATAAAGTGGAGGAAGAAGGAGAAATTGTGATGGTAAAGGAGCACAGGGAGCTGGATCGCAGTGGAACCAGAAAAGGACACATAGTTATCAAGGTGAATTTCTTTATGTTTTCCATTAATCTATTCAACTTTGATTTATTAGTAAATAAATACAGTTTCAGTTTGAATCTAAAATACTTAGCTTTATCTGTGTCAGCTCAAAAAACTCGTTTAGAAGGAATGTGTATTATATCCTAAATTTGCTTCCATTTCCCCTTAAGTAAAGTTAGACCTGTTCAACACATACATTGAGTTTTGTATTGGRACCACCCTTTGGGCATCTTTATGACCTATTTTTTGTAATCTGAAAGAGGAACTTATACTACTTATTAAAAAATAAAATTAAGGGAACTAATTGTTTTAGCCAGGTGTTACCTATGCAAAACATCAGGGCTGAGAGAAGCAGGAGAATTTGATTTAAACATGTTGGTATGTTTTCTCCTGAGTTGTCCATAACTGAACTTTCTGAAGGGATTGTACTGTTCATGTGGGTTTATGTTGAAATTCTCTTTAGAGAGAGTYAGTGATGAGAGATAYCAGCTATTTTTTTTCATTTKCTTTTTTCAGGCAACACCCGAGAGACTCATCATGCACTTAATAGAGGAACATTCTATTGTGGATCCAACCTACATCGAAGAYTTTCTTTTAACATACAGAACATTTCTAACAAGTCCCTTGGAAGTTGGAAATAAACTCTTGGAATGGTTCACAGTGGACAGCCTCAGGGATAAGGTTGGTTCAGCCTAAGAGATTAATATTTCTGGTGAAAATGTATTCAAATTGATTCCTTTTTGYATTGCTGATAAACTAGGATAAATAAAACCAGGTTCCACTCTGGGTAATTGTGTGCACGTTCATGAAAAACCTTGAYAGTCTGGAACTTGTATTTGCCAGTTTGTTGATTCTTAGCCAGTGTTTTTATGTGTTCAAGCCTTGAGCTGAGGAAACCCAGCATACTGTCAAAACACTAGATGTTCTGAATAGGAAATTGTTCAGGGTCTGCTGTGGTTTCTGCTTCTCTTCTTACCTCTTTCCATGCTTTTCATTTAGTCAACTCCCAGTTTTTAATAAAAGGAAAGATAAAGAGAAGTGTGTCAGCAAACAAAAACAGAAATTGTATAATTTTAGAAGAGAAATGGGTATAGACTTAGGTTTTTGTATAATATGGATAATATTGTTGTCAGGCTGACTTTATCATGAATGGTAGTGGCTCTGTAGCACCTACAGAAGCAATCTGAAGAAACAACTTAGAAGAAAGCTTTTTATTATCACAACTAGAACGTTCTTTAAAGAAATCATTAGGGTGCTTTACACGTAATTTTCATGAACAGTGTAAAGAAGGCTTAGCTGAAGATGTATTTATGCACCAGCAGGTACTGGGTGATGTAGCCAGTATTTTTTGGGTATAAAAACAATTGTTTTTTTAAAAATTTTTCATTTGCTTCCACAAATAAAGGGAAAGAGAAGATGATTTCAAGTGTAAATGTCTTTTTCTTATAGATGCAGTAAACTGTCATATGTTCCTCTGCCATGTCCAGGTATTCTTCTGTGCTTAGAGACTAAAGCTTATAGGAGAAGAATCATAAATACCTTTATACATATATACAYGTAATTTATTTTGTTTTTGCAGGTTACCAGAGTAGTCTTATTGTGGGTGAACAATCATTTTAATGACTTTGAAGGAGATCCTGCCATGACTCGATTCCTGGAGGAATTTGAAAAGAACTTGGAGGATACGGTAGGAGCAAAAAAGAATGGAGTGTCACATTTTCTAGTGCTGTATTTTTCAATTTCCCAGTGTAACCAGTGCCTAACAGCTGTAGTCTGTAACTGTAACAGTTAATGGGTGGCTTTGAACAGTGGACATATTTGTTCTGAAGTATAAATTAGATATAAAGGCCATACAAAGTCATACCTATGGCATTTGCTTAGGAGTTTTTGCATTTCTGCAAAAGAGGACTGAGTCTATTTAGTAAGATCTGAAAATATGGCATCAAAAATCCATTTCCTGGCACTTGGGGTATTTTTCATAACTGTTTTTCCATCTCTGATCAAAGAAACATTGTGCTGCATTTTGTGTCTTCTGTGTTACAGAAAATGAAAGGCCATCTTAGATTGCTGAATATTGCCTGTGCTGCCAAAGCAAAATGGAGACAAATCACCCTGCARAAACCTTCCAGAGATTCTCCTCTGTTTTTCAGCCTTCTTGGAGGCAGTGAYAAGGGGTTTGGTATTTTTGTAGAAACTGTGGAGATAGGCAGTAAAGCAGCAGAAGCTGGACTTAAACGTGGTGATCAGGTAAAAACAATTACGTTAATTTAAAATATTCTGGTTCACCCCGCTGTTGGTTGTTCTCAATAGAAATGTTATACTCTCTACTGAAACTAAATCACTGGCAAGTGTTTATTTGGGAATGCCTCAGGTTCCATTTTTCTGTTAAAGGGTTTCTATTGAATAGTTTTCAAAGTGTGTAAAGTATTTAAATATTCCAAAGACAGAATGGGAAAAGAAACCAAGTTATGGTTATTGTAGGTAACTTTCTGATCGGAGATAGTTACATTGAAACCATCAGATTGTTTTATGATATTGATTCCCACCTGATGTGTTTGATCCCAGCTCACTGAGGCAGGTGGAGCAGTGAAAGGTCACACTCAGTGAAAATACAGCTTTTGAAGTGATTTCAGTTCTGTGGTTCATGATCCACCATTTTTGATTAATTGCAAGAATGTTATATAATCATAGAAAATAAACTTATTTAAAGTATTTGTCAAGTAAAAATGGAAGTCCTGACTAATTCACAGGATGTAATTTCTCTGATGTGATGAAAATAGTTATTTTACAAGGAATGTTTTCATTCTGTAGCTGCTGTAAAGATGATACGGTAATTTCTGGGAAGTTCTTACTGTGCTGGTATTATCACCTTTGTATTTATAAGTCTGTCAGACAGATGTTCTCCTAATAGCCCAATTTTTATTTCTTAAAGATAATGGAAGTAAACGGACAGAATTTTGAGAACATTACCTTTGTGAAAGCTTTGGAAATCTTAAGAAATAACACACATCTCTCCATTACTGTAAAAACAAACATTTTTGGTGAGTAGACTTTTACACATTATATACTTTTATGTGTGAAGGAAAATCCCCACTCCTCCTGGCTTTGCRAATGCAATAGGATTCCACCTTTTTTTCTTTCCAAGTTGCTGTTGGGGTGAGAAGTTTTGCAAAGTTCCCCCTTGTGCCTCTGCTTGGATAAGTTCTCCTGTGCCAAAGGCTGCACATTGAGGGGCACAGAGCCAGCACAGGCAGCTCTCCACTCCCYGAGAAATCCTCAGACAACTGTTTAAGCTGCTTTAGTGTCCCTCCATGCAACAGGGCTGAAACAAAGCCAAGGGATCTGGACCAAAATATTTTTGCCAAGAAATGGCAAAAAATGTAAAACTGGGATTTTGTAAAACTTTTTATAATGGCTGTAAGAATGAGGGGATAAATTGCCTTTATGTCTAGAATTGAAAAGGGGATATAAAAAGTGGTATGGAATRTAAATGTTGGTTTTTAATTGTCATCATGAATATAAACACCTAAATAAATACCTCTTTAAAATCTCAGTCCAATCATCTGTTCTTTTCCCATAATCCTGTTCAGGCAACAGAATAACTGGAGCTACAGAAAGAAAGAGACTGTGCACAGGATAGCTCCTTCCTCCAGTTATATCCATATCTTCTGATCGTTTTCTTTTCCTGTTTCCTTCCTCCAGTTACCTGCCCTTGCTCACTATTGATTTTCCTTTCAGTTATTATTCTATGTTTATCACTGTGCAGCTAAAAATGTTCAAGCCCTCAGCCAGTTGCTTATTAGCATAATTTAAAAAAAAAAGCTTGAAACAACCGCAGTAACCAGTGGTCCAGACTAATGTGAAATGACATGAAATGAAGCATCACTATAACTGAGACACTGATAGGTTGTTCCTTGTATTATAAATATAAGCAACATTTATGAGTGGGTTCTAATTTCTTCCTGCTACCTAATAGAATTTCAAGGTGATGTCTGATAAATTTTAATGAATTAATGTCTTGAAGCTTTTTGCAACAGTGAAAAATATTTACTATCCTGACTTTTTAATTGAGTCCTTAAGTGTCTGGTGCTGACAATGAGCAATTCCTGTTGTTCTRTTCAAATCTATACCAGGAAAGCTTGTAGCCTTAGCTTTTGTTATATAATAGAGATGTGTCAGTTAATTGGACTTTGTGTACAGAGAGTCTTGGTTGCCTTGCTCATAGGGACAATCCGAGTAATTTGCTGTTTACATTTCTRCAGTCYTGCAGTATCACCATCTTTTCAACAGAAAATACTGAATTTCTAACTTGAAAGATTTCAAATAATTTTAAAWATATCTTTAAAGAGGTCATTAATGTTGACAATTAACTTTTTTTTTCATCTTATATATGTGAAAAGRAACAGAAAAAAATCCCTATAATTCCCATGGAATTCTATCTTTGAGAATGCCAGTATGGGTTATAGACTAGCTTAGTTCTGTAAATGCAGTAGGAAATTTGATGCAGCTTCTGTTCAGTAGTGTGAGTGAAAGCAAACAAAGACACTTTGGGAGAATATCGGACTGCATTGCAGTTACTCCTGAAGAAGCATYTGCACTCCATTACCTAAAAGATGCAAAGAAAAAGCCAATAAATACATAGTGCTGATTGCCCTGAATTTAATGTTTCCTTATTATCTCTCTGGGATGTGGGAAGGAAAAGGTTTGAGGGGAAAAGAAAATTCCACTGTGAARTTCTGAGTGTGCAGAGGTTACTAACAATGTCTGTATTTTCTCTTACAGTGTTTAAGGAGCTGCTCTGCAGGATAGGACAGGAGAAGAATGGAATTCCACATATTCCAAAAATTGCAGAAAAGAAAAACAACCGTTATTCTATCCCAGATATGCCTGGAGATGTGGAACAGATGTTTCCCCGTGAAAAAGGAAACAAGAAAATGAAAGCAAAYACAGTATCTGGTGGGAGAAACAGAATCAGGAAAATTTTAGACAAGACCCGTTTCAGCATCTTGCCTCCAAAACTGTTCAGGTTTGCCAGATTCTTCTATCAAAAAGTAATTGTTCCTTATAAGTTGTGATATTTTAATCATAGAATGGTTGGAAGGGAACTTAAAGGGACACCTTCCACTATGCCAGGCTGCTCCAAGCCCCATCCAACCTGGCCTTGAACACTTCCAGGGATGGGGCAGCTTCTCTGAGCAGCCTGTGCCAGGGCCTTGCCACCCTCAAGGGAGGAATTTCTCCCTAATATCTACATAGAACCCACCCTTCTTCAGCCTCAGGCCATTAAGAGATACCAGTGCTCAGTATTTCTAGTCATTATGTCCACATTGCTTTTGTTTTTTAAAAAAAACAAGGCATCTGCCCTATGAGTGCAGAACAAGACCAAAATATCTTTTCTCTCCAGATGAACACTTTCAAATCTGTTTTTCTCCTGTCCATGTTTTGAAAGCCTGTCTACAACATGTAATTAAAACAGCTGAGCACCATTATTTTTCTTAGTTTCATTCATCCCCAGCTGAATAGGAGGAGTTTAATGCAGATAATGGAACTGTTTTGCAGCGATGGCAGCGTGAGCCAGTCGCAGGATGACAGCATCGTGGGGACGCGSCAGTGCCGCCACAGCCTGGCCATCATGCCCATTCCAGGCACCCTCTCGTCCAGCAGCCCTGACCTGCTGCAGCCCACTACCAGCATTCTGGATTTCTCCAATCCTTCAGGTAAAATGGCACCTTGAGGTTGATTTACAGGGTGGTTACCAAGGCAGCTGGGTCAGGGGGAAAAATGCAACTTTTGCCAGCATCGCTCGTGCTGAGTGCACTTCCCTGKTCATCCTGTGGGCCTGACAGGGCCAAACTGGAGATGTACTGAAAATCCACACTGCCTGAACCTCTATTTCCTACTTCTTTTTTTTTAGGTAATGTGACACTTCTTTCTACAAATAAATTTATTTTGCCATTTTTGAGGGCCTTTGATTTACTGGAGTCAGTTGACTCTGGTGGAAGGAGATTGTGTTTGTACCTTTCTCCTTTGCCATCTCTCCCCAGTGCTTTGACTTGCCCATCCTTCCATCTTGCAGTTTGTATTTCAAGCAGTATTGTGGATAGAACAGGACTGCCATGGTACCAGCACAGTGATGTTAATGTTTCATGTTTTACAAACGTTATGTATGTTCAGTGGTGTGTCTAAAAGCCTTAAAAATGTTTTGAGATGTGTGGTCTGGGCTTGCATTGCTGTTGCTGTGGGGTGGCTGCAGGAGGCATTTGTTGTGATATGCAGCTGCCTGTAAACATGTCAAATCAGAATCTTTTTTCCCTATTTTAAGTGTTAGTTCTGTACATAATTACATATTCTGTAGAATGTCTTGTGGCTGTGACTTATTTTTACATAAACTTGTAGATTTCCCATTTAAAAGGGATATGCACTCATGTATCCTATCAGGTGCATAAATATCCAYAGCAAAAAAGTTCCCTTTTTGGTTCCAGGTCCCTGCTGTCTGCATGAGAGMTACACATGTGTTTTTAAAAACCTTAATTTATTACTACACAAGTTACTGCTTAATATGAAATGGTGATAACTAGTTCATCTTGGGATCACTCACAGAATCACAGTGATTTGGGTTGGAAAGGACCTTTAATGGTCATCTATTCCAACMYCCCTGCCATKGGCAGGGACATCTTCAGCTGAATCACTTACCTTTACTTTAGGCTTGCTATAACAAATATGCTGCCGTGTTTGAATGTCAGAGAAAACCAAATCATTTCTGACAGTGTACACTTGATAAGTTTTGTAAGCATCTCAATCTTGATTTGGTGTTGACACAGTTTTTTTCTTTTTCTCCTGCCCGCAGCTGTTGGGTTTTACTGTAAGTATCCTCATGTACAGCATCCTGTAGACCTTAATATTGCATGGCTTGCCTGTAAATTTAACACTATCAGACATTGCATTGACATAGTTATTACTGTAGGGCATTGGATAGCCCTGTAATCTTCCTTAAATAAAACAAATCCATAGGTTCCTGTGCAGGCACAGTTCTGTACTGAGGCTGAGACCTGCATTTAATTCCCATTTCTGTCCCAGACACACTGAATGACCTTTGGCAGGTTCCTCTGCTTCTCTGTGGCCTTGCTTTGAGGGGATGAAGTTCCTTGCATCTCTTTCATAGAATTGAAGTTTCAGAGGATAACATAATTTGAGATTTAGTTTGTTCTTCTGTTGTACTCTGTAACTAAAATTCTGTGCATGCAAACTTGAAACGTGCTTTGTATTGTCAAAATGAGCTGAATAATGCATAAAAATTTAATTTAATAATTAATGTTTGCCTGCTTAAAAGCAAAGACCATGAAGACAGAAATATACCTGTAATTTATGTTTCCCTCATCTGTCAAAGTTACATTGTTTTGGTTGCATGGTTATTTTCTTTTTTTTTGTCTTTTTTTTCTGTCCTTTTTTTTGTCTTTTTTTCTTTTTTCTCCCCAATTAAATTTCAGTTTTCAGTGAGTGTGTTTTGATTCACTTTGAGTGTGTTCTGATTTTTAGGTATGTTGATACCAAAGTATTGATGTTTCCCTCTTCTGTTTATTAATTATGACTTTTATGAGTGCAGGCACTTCCCTAATGATTCAATGTGTCATTTTCACCACTTTCACTCTGAAATAAGTACAAAATACTTACTTCTCCCTTRTATTGCCCCTATTCACATATATACCTTGAACTTTTCAAATTCTGCTAGTCCCCAGCTCCTGATGAGAATATTCTGGTAATGTGTTAATCRTAATCATGAAACTGTTAGAGAAATKGGCTTTCAATCAGAATTTTTTTARCCCATGTTTTCTCCCAKCTTCAAATTTATTTATAAATGATGTTGAGCCTTGCTTTTTTCCAATGGGTGGAACTTTTGGTGCTGGATCATAGATTACCTGCTCACTTTTACCCTGAAATTCCTTGTACTTGGCCCCATAACACCATTAAATCCTGATGCAAGAAGTAACCCCAAGGTCACTTCCCCCAGAGATCTTTGTTGCCTGGTTTAGCAGTGGATTTTGATAGAGGAAAATCAATGTATTGGCAGTGGGGTRAGCAGCATCTAAAGCTGTGCTCAGAGAGCTGCTGGGAGGGTGTGAAGGATGGRTGCTCTGCCCAGCAGGGTGATTCCCTGAGCAGAGGGACACCAGGGCAGGTCACACGCCTCAATCCATGGATCTGGCACTTACACTGAGTTTTGAAGGGCTGGACAAATAGCAGTGGGAGAAGGAAAAGGCTGTTTTTCAGGCTGTTGCTTTAATGACAGCCCTTSCCTTCCCTCACTGGGGATCTCTGATGCAGGAGTTATGGCACATCTGTCTCCAGTGTGGTTTKGGAGAGCTTCACACTCTGAAGCCTTGGCTGAGGGTTCAGCAACAGCCTCTCACCTCAGGTCTGCAGAAAACTTGTGAAGTTTTAGTCTTCAGACTCCAGGGAAGGGAAAAACTGGACTTCCCTGGGCTTGAAAATAGTGTGCATTTGACTCTTGACATTTTTTAAAAAATACCAGTTTTATTTTGGAAATTAAACTCTCTGTAATAACTAATAGTGCAAATCATTTGCAATCATCAAGATGTGGATTAAACACGTGTTTCTGTAGATATTTATTTCCTGCTGTAGGCTGCCTCAGATAAAGCTGTTCTCTAATGCATTTATAATACATAAAATGTGCTATAAATAAGTACACCAGCCAAAGAATTAACTGCTGGCAGCAGCTTAGTTCCTTCAGGGGAGAGAGTGAGTGTAAAAGCTTGCAGCTAGTTCTGGGAGCAACCAAATCTCCTTTCCTCTTCACATCCTCCCAAGCCCAAGCCCATCCATCCGTGCTCGGTGGCTTCCCATCCCTGGGAAGCGTGCCCTGGCACGTGTGTGGGTCTGGCTCTCACAGACACGAGAGAGCCAAAGAAGGAATGGTGCTGCCAAGGTTTTTAAGACATGCTGGGAAGGAGCAGTGCACAGCCTAGTTACGTACCTGCATGTCTGGTACTTCGATTCTGGTCATGGGATGGTAGAGTATTTGAGTTATAGAAAAGCAGAGAGGAGGAGAGTCTTTTTTTTTCCTCACCAAGATGAAGAAAAACCAAAATAATTAAATAGTTTTTCAAGTCCAGCATGGGTTTGGGTTTTTTTTTTCCCAGCAACTCGTTGGTTTTGTTTCCTGATGATCAAACGAGGCAGTAAATCACAGAATCCCAGAATGGTTTGGGTTGCAAGGAGACCTTAAAGATAATCTAGTTCCACTCCCCACTTTCCACTATCCCAGGCTGCTCCAAGCCCCATCCAGCCTGGTGCTGAACACCTCCAGGGATGGAGAGTYCAAACCTCTCTGGGCAGCTGTGCCAGGGCCCCACCACCCTCACAGGGAAGAATTTCTCCCTAATACCCAATCTAAACCTSCCCTCTTTCAGCTTAAGCCAACTYCCCCTTGTTCTATCACATGCCCTTGTGCAAAGTCTCTCTCCAAATGACCTTATGTCTTTCCAAAGGAAAAGTAACTTCATACATTAAAGGTGTTCTGCTCTTTTTTTTTTTTTTTAGATATTCCAGATCAAGTGATACGAGTTTTCAAAGCAGATCAGCAGAGCTGTTACATCATCATCAGCAAGGACACCACAGCCAAGGARGTGGTGAGCCATGCTGTGCACGAGTTCAACCTGACAGGAGCCCCCGAGACCTACTCCCTGTGCGAGGTGTCCGTCAGCCCCGAGGGGGTCATCAARCAGCGCCGGCTCCCCGATCAGTTCTCCAAGCTGGCTGACAGGATTCAGCTCAATGGACGGTAAATGTGYCCCTTATTGCTTGGGTTTGGTTTGCCTTTTGGGATTGAAATGTTGTAGAATCGTTAAAGTTGGAAAAGAGCTCCACGATCATCAAGTCCAGCATCAGGGAGGGGTGTTTTAGTTAAAATAGATATGTCTGCTGGAAGCAAAAACCAGTAAATGCCAGTAACTTACACTTCCCTCTTTGTGTCACCTTCCTCTTCTGCACCCAAAAATCCCTCCCTACATCTACACCAAGCCTGCCTGATGACAGCTAAATTTAGCAGGTCAGGATAATGTATATAGTGGTTTGCACTTAGAGAAAACGGTTCTATTTGTTTTGACACTTCCCACATGTACTTGACACTTAAAGTATACAGTTAATTTCTTTCTCAGTGTCAYGCTGCAATGAACTGATACTAACCTGAGATAAATTCTTCCATTTTTAAGTAAACTGTTCTGAATGTTTCTCAAATGTTAAGTGCTTGGGGTTTTATCTGTTGACCTGATCCATACCAGAAKAAAGTTTATTAAAGTAAAATATTCTGTAGTTGTCTTTGCTAGGCAACAGAGGGAATTTATGAGTAATAAACTTTTTTGTATCTGAAAGTGATCTACTTGGGACCGTGGAATGAATTTTCCAGATRCATTTTCATTTCCTGAATACTCTGTGCCTCATGCAAATATTACTATGCCACACTAAATTTATGGAAAAAARCACACTAAATTTGTGTAAGAAATGGAGAAGTACATTAACAGGAGATTTCTCAGGACTAGCGTGTATTTAAAATGCTATTTTCACTACTGAATTTACAAATGGAAAAGTAACTGACCTTTTTCTGAAGGTGATCACTACAGCATATTACAGCATRCTGTATCAAAACATTAGCAAAGAGCTTTTGAAATGTTTATTTACTTAAGTAATGGTGTTATTTTACATTAACTGAAGTACAAGGTTATATTTTCCCTTCTTGTCACTGTAATGCCACAGTGATTGGTTTAGTCCAATGTCTTTGTGTTCACAAACCCTCTGAAGAGCATCTCTCATGTGTTACTGTTTCTCAATTATCACTCAGGTATTATCTGAAAAACAATATGGAGACAGAGACCTTATGCTCAGATGAGGATGCTCAAGAGCTGCTCCGAGAGAGCCAAATTTCCCTGCTGCAGCTGAGCACCATCGAGGTGGCCACGCAGCTTTCCATGCGGGACTTTGAGTTATTCCGCAACATCGAGCCCACGGAATACATCGATGACCTTTACAAGCTGGACTCCAAAACAGGGAATGCTCACCTGAAACAGTTTGAGGATGTCATCAATCAAGAGACCTTCTGGGTTGCCATGGAAATTTTAGCMGAGCCCAACCAGCTCAAAAGAATGAAGATTATTAAGCATTTCATTAAAATTGCTCTCCACTGTCGAGAATGCAAGAACTTCAATTCCATGTTCGCGGTGATAAGGTAAAATGCTTCTCATCTGTCACACCTGATTGGTGCTGTCACAGGCAATTCTGGTAATCTAAACGGARAGGAAAGAAATGGGAATATCCTGAGCAGGCTGTGGCTGGGGCTGTGGGTGGTTTTCCAAAGCCATGCTGGTCACCACAGCCTGTGCACTGTCACCTCAGCATTTCGGTCCCATTKCAGTGCTGGCGGTGACAGTCTGTTTTCCACTGGTACCTCGCAGGAAAGGAGAAAATGGGGACAAAGCACTGTTTGATTGATGGACTTCAGAAACCTGCCTGAGCATTATGTCATTTTCCGTGACTTTGGCACCCAATTTCCTTTCTTTTTGTCAGTCATTGTTACTTTTCCAGGGTGCACYGAGTCGTATCTGTGATGATGAGATTACTTTATTTCTTCCTTCCATTGTAAGGACTTCCTCAAATCAGTTCTTGTTTTGGCTTAATTTTCCTTCTCATTCTTTCCTGTCATCTGCTTGCTTCTCCATTTTATTTTTTTCCCCTCTTCAATTGCACATTTAGGCTTTCTCTTCTGATTTATACTGAATGCTGCTACTTTAACAGCATGAGTTCAGCATTTCCTGTATTTGTAATTATCTTACACCGAGCCTTTACTGTAGGAAAAAAAAGGCACTTTGATTCATCAAAGATCTAGATTTGTGCTGTATCCCAGCACCATTGTTGAAAACATCATTTTAAAGTATTTTCTTCCATGTCTAACCAGTTTGTCAGATGGTATTGGTGTCTGGTTAGTCTTTGAAGAATTCATGGGTTTCTGTAAAGGGTGCTGGACAGTCACAGAGACTGTGGCTGCTAACTTTATGGGAATACACACATGGATACTGATCCTAATTTTTATATTCTGCTCCCTAATCTCTCATGGTTTATTGTAGGCGAAGAAATTACTTTTTCTGCTTCTCAGTTAAGTCCGATCAGGCTGTGACTGAAGTGGTCTTTGGTCCAAAAAGAAAAAAAAAAAGGCAAATAAATTAGTTTTTGTCTTACCCTTATTTCCAGAGGAATGTATTTTTGTTAGCATATGGCACAGTGGTTTTCTTTCTTGCCTTGTGCTGCACAGCAGTTTGGTGCCACATGTCTCATGAAATAGGAGGATAACCATCCTAATGTAGCATGGAAAAGAAGAGCTTTGGGCTGGCATATGTTGGATTTTTTTTGTGTCTGAGAAGGCTTTGTTTGGTATAGCATGGAGAGAAATCTGTATAAAAAATAAACCAAATATAAAAGAAGGTTTTGGAAAAAAAAAATCTGAAAATAGCAAATTCAGTGATAGTGTGATTCTGGATTTGCTATGGAATACTAGTCCTTTCCAGTTCTACAGAGGTGAGGACTTTGCAATTATTGCAGAATTTCTCAAGCATAATTGGTGACAAATTATGATAGGGAGAATGGATTTAATTTATTTAATGTTTTTATTTAATTTTTTTTCTAGAATCCAAATAATTCTGAATATGTTTTACTTAGTGGGGATGAGGGCACAGTGCTAAGTTTTAGCATATCTGCTGCTTCTAATTCTGAGTCTGTYGCTCATTTGCAGATGCTCTTGTCTGAAGCTCTGAGGGGCACCCTGGKCCAGGGCCTCCCCACCCTCACAGGGAARAATTTCTTTCTAAAATCTTCCYAGTTCTGCCTGGGATGAGCTCTGCACTGCTCTCATTTTCTGTGCCATCATTGATTCACCTCATGCATTTTTTACCATTTTTGCTCTTACWGTGGCAAACGTTTTTACAGGAGAGAAGTGGTTCTTAAATAGACATCAGTYCTTTGTTACAGAGATGATTTTGGCAGTAATTTGAAATTTGTACCTTGAGCAGTCATGGTTTTCACAGTCCTGTTTAAGCAGCAGAGGTTTATTGTGATAAACTTGTAGCTGCCATTCACCCAACTTTACAGTTAACCTTGGGAAAGCTGTTTTTAACCCTCAAAACAACCCCCAACCCTTCACTTCCTTATGCAAGGTAATGATTTGCTCACAGCTAATAATGAAATGTTTCTGCCTTGCAGTGGCTTGAATCTTGCACCAGTAGCTCGTCTCAGAGGCACTTGGGAAAAGTTACCCAGCAAGTATGAAAAGCACCTCAGAGACCTTCAGGATCTTTTTGATCCATCTCGAAATATGGCAAAGTACCGCAACATCCTCAGCAGCCAGAGCATGCAGCCTCCAATTATCCCACTTTTCCCTGTTGTCAAGAAAGATATCACATTTCTGCATGAAGGTAATGTCAAACAGAGAGAAAATAAACGAAGCACTGAATGTACTTCAGCCCTTTCTTCAGTGCTCTGTGTGTCAGTGCATGTCTAACGAAGCTGCCAGCAGCAGGATGCTTTTGAGGGATCCTTTGTAGGAGTAAAAKAGAACTGGGAATGCCTAATGGAAGAGACTGATCCTAGACAAAAATTAAAAATAAACGGCATATTTTTAATATTTTCAAAGCAATGCTTTAATCCTCCTCAGCTGTCCTGAGGTTTAGGGTGGAAGCGTAGGTGAGTGTGCTGTCTGGTAGTTACACTACTTCAAATATTTTCTCTTACAAAAGACTTGTTGCTGTAATGTTTCCAGGTTTTCATTCCGTGTTGTGGCTTGCACACAGCTCCGATGATACAACACCTCCTACTCTTGCTTTCAACATTTTCAAGAGGTTTTGTTTAAATGTTTCCATTTTGTTGCCTTTATACAAAATCCTGTTCACAACTGGTTGATGTGAAGCATTTCCAAATATTCTTAATTCCTGGCTGTGATGGTTCAGAGCTATTTGAACTTCTTCGTGGATGTGAGCACTGTCAGTTCTGTATTTGTRTTATTTTAACCTTGTGCCAGTGAATTTGGGCATAGTTACTCCTTTTTCCTCCTACTAATGCTTGTTACTTTAGAAGTAGATTAACAAGAKCAGTACAGGGTAGTCTGAGTGGGCCTGATTCCATTAGTGTTTTGCCAGAACATCCTGTTTTCCTGCTATTCTGATTTTAAAATTGTGTTGGTTGGGGAGCAGGGAGGGTAGGAGGGTAACAAGGGAAGAACTAGAAGCACCGTGGCTGTTGAGAAATATTTCTTACTCTTTTTTTTCCCTCTTATGTGTGTGCTTCAATTATGCAGGCAACGATTCTAAAGTGGATGGCCTGGTAAATTTTGAGAAACTCCGGATGATTGCCAAAGAAATTCGCCAAGTTGTCCGGATGACGTCGGCAAACATGGATCCAGCAGTGATGTTCAGACAAAGGTGTGCAGTGGGAAGGGCAGGAGCATTGGAGGGGTGTCTGTGGGGGGATCTGGGTCTGTGTGTCCATCAGTGCGTTGGTATTTCATTGTGTACCTCACCGTGACATCTGCCATCAAACCACAACCTTTATCTAATTATGGCAAGCACTCGATGCTTCCCAGACCTGCCTTCAATGACTAATAAACCAGTTTATTGTCTTTAAAACACACAGAAGAATAAGTTCTGATTTTTATGGTACATATTTCTGCCAAATAAAACGTTAGTGTCAGTAGAGTTTTGAGAGAGGTATAGTATTAGGGGTTATAGCATTATCTGTATATGGGAGAGAGATATAAAAAGCCCTAAATMACTGATGTATAGATCTGAAATGTTGCTTCAAAACAAAACCCCACTGATAGCATATTAAATTCAAACTAAATATTTTTTATTTGTTCTAAGCACAGCTTGTTCCACCTACATAATGTTTGATATGTTCAGGCTTTAGCAGGTGGAGGGTGTTTTTCTTGGCTTATTTTTCTTATTTTTTTCCTTTTTATCTTGATGCCAAATATCATGAGGCTTGGTGTTAACAAACTGCAAAATAAAAGCRGCATAACTTGTAATTTGGTGCTGATTAGCTCCAGATTTCACTTAGTGGAACTGAATTATTTCCTGCATCTGTTTTCTTCCCACTGACTGAGCTAAGAGCATCAGTGACCCTGTTGTGCCCGTACAGGATCCTGATCACCTCTAGGTGCCTGCAGGAAGGGTGGTGGCCCCACTCCTTGCACTGTGTGCCTCGAGCTGATGGGCCAGACAAGACTCTTCAGGGTGCACTTTGGGTGGGGAGTTGGGGACAAGGTCATGTCTCGTGCTGAATGGCTCCAACTTCAGAAAATGGCAAATTGCTCCCTTGAGCTGCCCATACCCATGTGCACCCCAGCAGGGCAGAGCTCTCTGAACACCCTGGAGGGAGCAGAGCACGTAGGAAACCCAGTGGACAGGTTTTGGATGAAGTGTGCTTCATCCACCCAGAATTCCAGTCACCTGTGCAGTTGTGATGTGTGAATTCAGTTACATCTGGGCAGTGGAAGGAAACAGGGCATGCAGGATAGGGAGCATTTATAAAAGCATAGAGACCTGGGTCCCTGTGGCATTCCAGTGGTCAGGATTCACAGAGGATCATTAATCCTGTCTGGTTTTTGTTTGCAAGGCTGGCTATCAGGAAACATAAATATTTCTTTAAATACAGACATTTAAAGCCAGTCTGGACGGGGCTSTGAGCAGCCTSGTCTGGTGCAAGGTGTCCCTGCCCATGGCAGGGGCTGGGATGRGAGGAGMTTTGAGATTCCTCCCRACCCAAACTGTTCCATGATTCTGTGACTCTAAAAATGGCCCAGTYGTGGTCTGAGCCAAAAAGAACAGATCCATGTTAATCTTATTTAAAGATGGATTTGTTTCGCAGTGGAGATTCACCTTTATACAGTTGGACTGGAATTAGCAAGATTTMATTTTTAGCATAAAATTGCAAAGCCAATTACTGAGAAGTTGTGATTGCTTTTCARAAACTTTGGCATTCTCAGCTGAAACTAGTCTATAAATAAATTTCCCTGATGGCCCATGCACTTCCTAAGACCTCATGAAGTCTAATCATTAAATAAATTTAATAGTAAATAGTTACCTTTAGTGTGTTTTTCAGAATTWCAGAACACATTTTAATGACCGTAATTTAAATTATGCACACTGTCATAAACTGCTTAGGCATCTAATATTAGAGATAGTGCCAAAGATTAAAAGAAAATAATTCCATGTTTTCATGTCATTTATATTCATTTTCATTGCCTCTGGTGTTTGATCTATCAGTTTGTGTTATGAAGCACCAAATAAATGCTTTTGAAGATGCAGAATTAACAAGAAAGGATGTGTATTAGTGGTTACATGAGACTTGCTCACAAGTTCATCACCAATTATAGAGAGCAGCTAAGCTTTCAAAGTGTATTTGGCAACTGGCTTGTTTTCCAGCCAGCAATCAAGAGAAAACAACACCATAAACTTGAATACTGACGATTTCTTATACACTTTCAGCAGGCCTAATGTAAAGAATACATGAATTTAATCCCATTTTCTGCAATATGAATGAGTTGCACAGTTTTTACTCACTCCATCAAACTTGAATTTGTCCTACAGGAAACAGAATAAATTAATGCAAGTTTGATTTTTGTAGTTTGTAGGTTAAACTTAAACCAAAAACTGATAGATRTTAAAGTATTTGCCAAGTCTTGCCCTTGCATTCCATGAAAACATTGTGTTATTGTTTGAGAAGAATTTGGCTGTATAGATATTTTTTCTTTTCTGTTCTTTCCTGTCTACATCTTTCTTCCTGACTCTCAACTGTTTTATTTTTTTCCTGTGCTTTTCTGTTCAAATACATGCTTCAATGTATATGGCTCTTGCTTRCAGGAAGAAGAGGTGGAGAAGTTTGGGGTAAGTGTAGAGCTGAATGCAACTAAGATAAATAAAGATTATGCAACTCTTAACATACTGCATCCTCCTCGTTAGTGCATGCATCTGAAATACAGCATGCATTTTATTAACCCTGCAATACATGTTTTTTTTTGAAAACAGGAGTAAGGGGTTACAGCCAGCATTTTACTGCAGCTATAAGAATCCTGAGTTGCTTTTGTGTAGTAGATAAGTTGTTTGAGTTTTGGCTTTATGCATTAAAAAAAAAAACCTGCTGCTGTGCAGTTGTATTGGAAGGCAAACTATTTTGGGAAGTAAATGTAATAAGTAACTTGCTTCATTACATGGTACAGAAAAGTTGAAGCCATTGTGCATTTTAAACTGTAAGGACACTTTGAATTGTGGTCATGATGTAGTAATTTCCCCCCTGAAGTTTGTGTTCAGGAAAGCTTCAAAGTATTTATTTTTAGTGTATGTTTAAAATGTGTCTCCTACATAAAAATCTACATTGATACCACTGGGAATGTTGATGGTGTGAGGTCTGGATCATGGAATGACTAAAGATGAGATTTCTGATGTTGGGCAGTGATTTTAGCCATATTTTATGTTTTGTTATGTGTATTTTTGCCCATAAAGTGTTACCTGTGTGCATCTGCACAGTGGGGACAGTGCCAGGGCTTGGGCTGGTCAAACTGGGGCRAGCAGGTTTGGATCCTGGTCCCTGATACTGCTGTGGGTGCCCTTCTCTGGATTTGGTGCCCAGTAATCAGCTGCTCACCAGGCAGCTCATGGGGAGAAATACCCAGGACCCATGGAGCCACTGTGATTTCTAACCCTTGGAACTGCCATGAACATAAGGGAATAAGGAAAAATAATTGTTACAGGAAATAGAATTAAATTGTCTTAAAAAGTCGAGTCCAGACTTGAAAGAAAAAAAGAGTGTGTACATAAACCAGAAAATACTTATATCATTAAAAAGAAACATATTTTCCTGATTATTGTAGAATAGCTTTGTCTTTATCCATCAAGAGACAGGAGTGTTCYTTTGGTTTGAATAGCTGTGAACACTTCATCATGCCTTTTACTGCTCCTTGCCTCCAATAACATTACTTATTTTATTTATTAAGCTATAAATTGCTGCCAGTTTTTAAGCTTATATTTTCTCTCAGAGTGATTTATTTAACATCTTTGCAAATATTGCAGTCAGCTGTTTTCCAGCACTTATTTTTTTAATAATCAGTGAACTTGATTCCTTAGATTTTCTCTAACAACATGTTTCATTCTGGCTCCTTTGGCCATTATGGCTCATCTGTGCCTGATGTTGTTTATTCTGCCACTTGTGATTCTGTAAACACACAAGATCTTGATAAAYGTCTTCATGTAGCTTTAAAAATATTCATGTGAATGTTTAAAAATCCCTACACAAGCTCAGCTTTGAACAACTTCTTTGACATTTTCCATTGGAATTTACATGTGACTTCTACTGTGATCTCTGTTTATTTAAAAATGCATCAGAACTGGTGTGGCTGTAGGACTTCTGGCAGTTGAAACAGAGGTGACTGTGTTTGAACTATGCCCACATCAGTCGTTCAGTCACTYATTCAGTGTGAGCAGCAGTGACTATCAGGGACAGTAACTCATGGTCTTTAACAGTTTTGGATTATTTGCTTCAGTTATTGATAGGTTTGAGAGCTCAAAATTAGGAGTATTGAGGAGCATCCTCTTTCATAGATGCAAATCTGTACAAGTCTGGGTATGTGTGTATCATCACTGCCTTCCTCACCTTCCCTGGGATACATTTTTTTTAATGAGCTGCAGTTCTGTGGATGTTTTTAGTTAATGGAAGAAAGGATTTGAGTGTGTAATCAAATGTACTTTGTACTTTGAACATAATTTGTCTCTCGTTTAACCATTGTGAGAATTTTAAGAGGATTGCAGTGGTCACTCACTGCTGTGCTCAGCTAAGGGCAAGAAATTTCTGTGGGTGCTCAGTTCCTTAAACCAACAAAGTTACCAAGTCTGTCCCTCTCAGAATCTACAGCTGAATTCATAGAGCTCTTAAAGTTGGAAAAGACCTCTGGTATCGAGTCCAGCCATCAACCCAACACCAYCACCATGTTCRCCACTAAACCATGTCCTCAAGTGCCTTAACCCATATGTTTTTTAACACTTCCAGGGATGGTGACCCCACCAYTGTCMTGGGTAGCCTGTTTGAGGGCTTGACAGCCCTTTCCATGAAAAGCTTTTTCCTAAAGTCCAGTTTAAACCTCTCTTGGCACATCTTGAGGCCATTTCTTCTCGTCAGCTGTAGGTCTTGCAGCAGAAGCCTGCGGTTCATTAGTGGAGCTAAAAGGGTCTCATACACAGTTCCATACACCTTGTTCTTCCGTGCTCCACATTTCCATATTCAGTTCTATTGTAGACTCAAATTGCTCCTCTCAGTTTACCAGAATACATTAAGACAATTGTTGTTTTAATGCTGTTCATCTTTTTTAACTCRTTTGCATCAGCATGCACTAGCCCTAACTGAAGATTATTGGTATTAATCTGCTTTGGCCTGTGCTACTGTAGCTCTTGGTTGCTGTTGAGAGCTGAACCTTTAGTGCTTTGCTCTTTTCTCTTGCAGGTCTCTGAGCCAGGGCAGCACGAACTCGAACATGCTGGATGTGCAGGGAGGTGCTCACAAGAAACGCGCCCGCCGCAGCTCGCTGCTCAACGCCAAGAAACTCTACGAGGATGCCCAGATGGCCAGGAAGGTGAAGCAGTACCTGTCCAACCTCAATGTGGAGACTGACGAAGARAAGATTCAAATATTGTCACTTCAGTGTGAGCCTGCATACAGCACTTGTAAGTACAGTGAGCCAGAGCAGCAGCATAATCTATGGCAGTTATAAAAGATGTTGTTCCTTCTCTAGAAATACTCTTTTAAACTTTTCCTCCAAGGAGAAGATACTGTAGCAAGTAGATACTTAGAGTTCATGTACTGAGAGCTTCAGGAAGACAGCATGTGTGTTCAGGTTCTGGTGAGCTCAAAAATCTTCAGTGATGTTTTTTATTTTGACCTTTAGTTCCCAAAGCTGTGTGTGTTTCCATCAGCCTGGCAGGAAATTCAATAGTACATCAGCTCTGGTGGTGCCCCGCTGTCCTTGCACAGAATTAGGAAGGATAAAAGTAGTGTTTACCATATGAACAGCRAGAAATGAAAAGAGACAAAATCAATATAGAAACTGCAATGGATTAYACCTTAGAATAAATGAAGATTGTTGAGAAGGAGAAGTTAGGTCAATATTGACTGATGAGTTTGACAYGGCTTGACAGTCAAAAATTGAGGACTACAGCAGGACAGCTCTCATGATCTGAGCTCCTGTCAAACAGACTGACCTGCTGTCTTACACAGTTCAGTAAATTCTTATTTAGAAATGAGAAATTATAAATGCATTTTATTTAGATACTCWAGAAGTTTTCACTTTCTTGAAAGGCATATTTGTTTCAAAATAGATAAGTGACAACCATGATAAGCAAAATAATGTTTCCTTGTTGGTCGTTTGTCCAGATGTAGCATTTTAAACCTTTTTTTGTCCTCAAATATAATTTTGTCTCTGATGAGTAGGTTCAAAGCGTGACTAGGAGATGGCATCTTGAAGATAAAATTTTAAGTCCTTGCCGTTATCCAGTATTAAGAATGCAAATCCTTGTTATTCCCTAAGGTGCCTTCYTATGCAAATTTTCTTTCAGCCTTTAGTTTTAAATAGCACTGAAGCAGGAAACCTTGAAAGGGCCATATTTAACTCCACTTCTAAAAATGTTAAATTCTCTGTATTGGAACTCTTGATAGATGATCTGTGTGCAATATAACCAGGTACAAGAGAAAAATGTGAATGTTACCATGTTGGTTTTCAGTTGTTTTAAATAAATCAATTAAAATCTTCTTTGCACAGTGCTAGACATAGATATTTGGAAGTAAAAATAGGGAATAAATGCTGACTGTTTTACTCCATGTAGTTAAGCAAATCAAGTCYTTATTTTCTTAAACATCAGAAAGGAAAATGAAGGTTAAGTAGATATACAGATATATAGTGGAGTGGCATATTATTAAAATTATAATTTTTGAAAACTAGGGGGAAAGCCCCAAGCCCCACAGGTAATAGATGCAGTTGAGATGATACTCAATTGTTGCAGAGCTCATTATTGGGAGGAGGAGTATGTGGAGCATGAGGGAGCTGCCAGCCCTCGTGGTTTTAACTCGGGTGGAGTGAGCACTGACCTGTCCCAGGGATTTTTCTCCCCCCTGGTTGGATTACCCAGTTCAGGGGTTCAGCTCCCCTCTTTCTTTCCTCAGTAATAAACTTCCAGCCTTGCTTTTGGAAGGAGYRAGCAGCWGCAGTGACACTGCAATCCAGARCTTTCCARCAGAATATAAGGAGSAGCAGGATGCCTTAACTTCAGCCTGTGAATTGCTGTGTGATGAAAGCAGAAGCTGAAGCAGTGCCCTGTGCTGTAAATCACTTGTGCCACCTAGTGAAACATCTGATGGCAGTTGCAAAACCACCTGATTCTGAAGGAGATGCTGTTATGCAATTGCACCTTATGTGCAGACATTTAAAATGCAGGYTTGTGGTAGAAATAAACAACATTTTTTGATCTTTTGATTAAGTACCTCCATGGCACTTTCAGGAATTTAGGGCTTTTTTTAAAGCTATTTCACACATCATCTTCAATGTGATGAGATTGTAGTGTTTGAACTAGAAATGGTTTCAAATACAATTTATCTTCTTTATATAGTGGTTCCTTTGTCTGGATGGTTGTACTGCAATAATCCTACAGTTCAAAGTCCTGGATATTCATATGCAGTTTTTCCCTAACAGTGACMAAGAATTTAAGTGAGAGAAGAGGAGGGAAATCCTCCGAAATGTCTCCAGTGCCCATGAGATCAATTGGCCAAACCACTAAAGCCCATCAGCATCAACAAAACCGAATGAGTCAAGTTCTTCAGGTCCCAACTGTGAATTTGTACCCCAGCAGGAAAAAGGGGCTGACAAAGGATCATGTCACATTCAGTGAGTATCTGCACCTGGCTGAGGAGGATTAAAGGTGGGAGGAGCTGTTTATAGCTGGGTGGGTTATGTGAAATACAATTTCATTTAATTAATTCATTTTAAAGCAGGTGGTGCATATTGCTGTGTTTTAAGAGAGCATGCTGGCTACTTAGTCATTTGCACAGTCTTTAATAACTTTTCTTAAAACAGTTAACAGTGAGGTGCTGTCTCCAAATATGCACTTGCTTAATGAAGTCTAATATGTTTAGGTGAAATCATTGGAATAAATCACAGACATTTAATATTTTAACCTCTGGGACAYCATTTTAACAACATTATGGTCAAATGGAGCAACATATATTAGTTACTCCTAGTGAACATAATTTTTTTTTTGTCTCTAAGTTTGCTAGTCTCAAGGCAGTGTATTCTGTATTAAAAAGCTTTTGTCCTATTTACATAACAGTTGTATCATTTGAAAGATACAATTGTGGGTTATTGAATAAAGTTAGCTGCAGTCAGTAAATGATATTAAATTATTTTACAATATAGTGGGCATCAACATAATTTAAAATAGCTTCAGAAAACAGTATATTGCAACATATGAAATACTGTTTCCAGTTAGTATTTGTTTGGTTTCTCCCCTGAAAAGACTGTGCAGTCTGATAAGTTCCGGAAACTTTTCTCAGAGGTGTTTCTTCATTTCTGTGTGATGGTCCATGTTGATCTAACAAGTTGTTGAGAACTTGAAATAACTCCTCAGCACTGTCCTCTGCAGGATGGTCTAATAGTGAGTAAGAAACACCAAAGAAAACTGGCCAAACTGTGGATAGTGCCCATGAGTGTTAATTTGAGAACTCCTGCTTGAGAAGATCTTGAGTTGACCTGTTGGCTGTGACACACRTGGTTTTTAACACAGTCCCAACAGTGCCATGGGCAAGGATTTCCTCCAAGCTKTATACTGCACACAGATTTATWTTTTTTTTACACAGTCCTTTGCCAAAACCACAACGAATGTCTCCATTGCAGTGGTTCCTGCTGGGATGTGGATGTTGCAGCACACTGCAGATGAGCAGGCAGCAGTAGCAGTGGCCACAGCTGATCTGATCTAAATTTAAATGGAGACTGCCTCCTCATGCAGAATTCTCTGAGCATCTGCTCCTCTCTTTGCTGAATCTTCTGACTGTTCAACATGGTGCTTATTTGTAGTTTAAACAGAAATCAGTAACTCAAAAGGAGAATAATACTCAGTAACTGGTGCCATTGTTTTYGTAGGTACGGGCTCTCCACAGAAGTCATTAAGCTTGACTGAGGAAGGAAGTAGTAAGAAACAAACAGATGACACTATGTCCATGGCATCTTCTTTGCACTCCAGCCCACCTGCTTCTCCTCAGGGCTCCCCACGCAAAGGTACGTGTGTGTGGCAGCATCAGTCCCAGGAACTGGAGCCTAAACCAGGGTGGGCAGTGGCAGGAATATTTGTTGGACACGTAAGAGAAGTAGTAGTTTAGAATACTTATGTCAAGAACAGAATCATGTCTTTCTGTGAATAGATATGATTTTCCRATGTATTTACATATTTTGGACCTTTAAGTCACTTAGTATTTCAAAAAAGGGAACAGTTATTTTCTTGAAATACTCTTAAGTCCTGTTGGCAGAATTCCCAATAGATCTGAAGTGCTGACACCTGCCATCATGTGAAGTAAGATTTAGGTGGCCACTTAAATAAATGGGGTTTGCAAACCTAGGAATTTCTTGAAGATGACAGTGTTGGACAGAAGCTGCAGCTACTGAGACAACTTTTGGTCTTGCCCAAGGTAGCTGGAAAATCAGGTGATTAGATAGAGCTGGAGACAGAACGGTGTTGTAGTTCTCCAGGACAGGTGGTTTAGGTTGCTGCAGAACTGCTGGATCCATCTCAATCTCGAGTCGCTGTTCATATTTTTTGTTCTTGTGCACAGGGCTTTGTATACATCCCTGTCTCTCATGATGCCCTGAGAATCCCTTTATTTTTGATGTCTTCGTCTTAAAAGACCTGCATCACTTCATCATTAGTCAACCTTGGATGGGAATTGATTTGAAATCTCTTACCAGCACTCAGTAGCCAGCCCGGGTGCTCGGTGTTGGATGGTGTAAGGCYTCTCTCCCTCCCTTGTGTGCTGCTTTGACTCACTGACAGCCCAGGGCCACCGCGTTGGCATGGCATGGCACGGTGACCTGCTGCATCTTCTCACCCTGCTCAGTGGGAGATCAGGCTGGTCCGTCCACCTCTGCCTTCACAAAATCCTGTTTCCTTTAGGAGAATGCCACTTAYTTTACTTAAACACAAGCATATGTATAAAAAGCTTAAATAGTTGGGTTGCCAGACCTTGCTCCACTGAGACTTCTGAGCATCGCTTATAAACATATTATTTTTGTTAACTTTTATCTGGTTCTTTGAAAAAAGTGTTTTGTTACTTTTGGGATTGTTTCATTAATTCAACTTGCTTTCAGCATATTTTTAGCACTGATCTCATTTGACTGAGATGATCTGTACTTTGTTGTATGTGTTGTGCTAACAGCTCATTGATCTAAAATTAGSTGCTTCACAGACAGCTCAAAGACATAATTTTAGGCATGAACACATTCCACTTAATCTTAGATTTCATTTTCTTTTGAGCTATACCCAAGTGTTACAAATAGGATTGAAGAAAAAAGGATTTAAAATTAGGTTGTTATTTCTGTTATTTATTTCATCATCTGTCATCATCTGTCTGTGTCTACTTCATTGTAGTTGGCAACATCCAAAGGTCTGAGAACTGCAGTCAGATGAATCTCTCTGGCTCTTCCTCATCACTGGCCAGTGAAACCAGCAACAAGAACAGTGGACAGCGCAGCTACGGAATAGGTGGGGCTTTTTTACAAAAGCAAATTCGGATGATTTGCCAAGCCAGAGACAGTTCTGAGAGAAACGCAAAGGCGGACAGAGAGAAAGAGAGTGGAAAGGCAGAAGCTGAGCCTGAACCCACAAAAATAATGGGATTCCGGTTTAGAAGATTTAGGGAAAGAAGCTCCTCCAGGGAAAGAACAGCTTTTATTGCAAAAAGGGAAGCAGAGCCCACTGAAGCATCAGAAAGCAGTGAGAACCCAAAGGAGAAGGACATTGATACTCTGAGTACAGCAAGTATCTATAGCAACAGCAGTGTGTACACATCCTACTGCCTATGCACAAGGACTAGAAGAAGGAGGAAGACTCTCTAATGTATTTTTAGAAGACAGACTGGTGTCCATGTTCTGTCAGATGTCCTGAGTTTATCTAAGTCATTCCAGTGTTATCCATTTCCATGTTTAAGCTGTTTAATGTGCTTCCCTTCCAGATGTTTGTGTCAGTTCTTTATAGCTAATCAGCCTTACAGTGCAGTGAAGACAATAATATGAAGTTTAGAAAATCAAGGAACAGGTACAGTGTCAGTTCAGTTACTTAGTGTGTCACAAATGCCCGTGAAACTGTAAGTTCTGCAACATTTTCTAATTTGACAGTCCCTGATTTGGTGTAAATGGAATGCTCACTTCCAGCATTGGTGTGTATTCCACTGGTCACATCCTCTGTAAATACTTATATTTAGTCTTTTCATACACATGTGCCATTATTTTCAGCCCAGTAAATACTTATATTTAGTCTGTTCATACACATGTGCCATTATTTTCAGCCCAGTAAATACTTATATTTAGTCTGTTCATACACATGTGCCATTATTTTATGGCTCAGCTTTCAGATAGTGTTAATTTCTTTAATAAGGAGGAGCCCCTTTGTTCTCCAGATAGTTGAAGTTCTTGAAGAGTGGTGTCTTAATTTTAAGATACACTGTGAGGACGTTTCTTACTCCAGTACATTTCAGTGAATTTAAAGAGTCACTTAAAAAATGTAAAGAATATTAAATATTAGTTACTGCCTAAGGAAAGGAAACTAAAATTTAATCTAAAAAATGCTGCTCTTAAGTACATTTTTTTCATTCATAAGGTTCAGTTCTCAGTTTGGTGATATTTAATGTTCATATTTGCTCTTAAAATCTTACAGCAATAATCAAAGTTAAGCTGTGAAATTTCAAATGATGAGCTTTGTGCTCAGTGGCTGTAAGCCAGTGTCTCCACTTGCCATAGTGTATCATCTCTGTGTTGTTCATGCATTTAAGGTCATCAGTCTTCTGTGTTAGGTTGTGTGTATCACTGGCATGGCTTTTACACTGCCTTGTCATTTCATTTCTTCACCTAATCAATATAACTATGTGGCGACCCAGCTAAAAGGCACATGTGCAGCAATTTAGGAAAAAAAAGCTTAGCTGAGGTGTTGGATATGTAGGACTGTATACCTTATTTTTTTCTGAAAGAAGTTATTTGAGGGTAAGCCAGGCAGAAAAAAAAATGCATTTTACATTTTGCTCTGAATCTGGTGGGAGGTCTTCAGCTGTTCCCYTTCTGTGGGAACAGAGCTGGAGTCTGGTCCAGCTCCTGCCAAGGTTGTGCTTCCTGCCTTTGCTTCYTTCTCTGTTAGTTTTGGAGCAGATAATAAAACTGAAATGGACCATATGGCTAATCCCTGAGTGCTAATAGCTGGCTTTTACCTTAGTCAGCATCTCCTCCTCCACTGCCAGAATCTTTTTTTGAGTCTTGCATGGCAGAGGAATAATGGGAARTGTGCTGCATTTATACAAAGGAGTCAGAACTTGCAGAGTTGGGAAGACCTAATCTGCCCACCTCTACTGATGCAGTGGCTGCTGATCCTGATTGTGTAGGTTCAAGTGCTGCTCTGGAGAGTAGTGGAGTTGCAGGTGGGTTATTGGRGCCCCTGGACTTGTATTAGTAAATCAGTGCTAGGTGCTGATAGATGCTAAAAGCTTTAGTACCCTAAAATCCTCAGTGGACTGACTTTATCTAAACAGGATTTGCTTGTTTTTCTTCTAAATAGCCTCTGTGTAATGTGTGTGTCAGTACTTTGCTGTCATACATTGACCAAGACATTCTYTTCTCCTCTCCTGTCCTTAGGCTACGCCCTCATACCCTCCACTAAATCCGACAACTTCTCGGACTCCAGTCACAGTGAGATTTCCTCCCGCTCCAGCATCGTCAGCAACTGCTCCGTGGACTCCATGTCAGCAGCACTGCAGGATGAGAGGAGCCTGTCCCAGTCCCTCATTGTGGGGGATTCAGGYGGGGCAGAGAGGAAGGAGCATCCTCAGCCTCTGTCAGAGTACGGCCAGCCCTGCCCAGGGTAAGGTGCTGCTGGGACTCGGTGCCAGGAGGGGTAAGGAGGTGTTGGCCAGGACTCAGTTCTGCACTCCACTGTGGTTATTAAGCTCGTGCTGGAGCACTGGCTGCTCTGTGTGAGCCTGTTTCCATAAGAAGCTTACAGTATTACCTGGGGAGACAGCAGCTTGCTCCCATCGGTGGGGTTCAGCTGGGTATTTCCTGCAGGAGCCTGGAAGCGTGTTAAAAGCCAGGATGATACTTAGCAAATTAGTGCCGTGGTGAGAGACAGCAAAAGAACAACAGGATATTGTCAATTCTCTCTGAGTCAGCAGTGCCAGTCACTTAACATGCTCTAATGTGATTTTTAAGGATTTTTCTAATTAACATTTGCTGCTTAGGCAGACTGGAAGCTTTCTGCCACTGTCTTCCTGACATTTTCCACACACAAGCTCTTGTTACTTCGGTGCAATGAGAATTTGTGCAATGATGCTTTGAACTGGAAGTTTTTTGATATTTCTTGCTAAATGTAGCATCTTGATGCATAGTATTTTATGTGTCTTAATATATCTTGGGAGAGCATTGTCTGTCCTTAGATGTCATGGATTGAACTATGAGTGATGCTCCTTACATTTCTAATTTTTCCAGCACATGGAATTGTAGAAAGCTTTGGGCTGGAAGGGACCTTAGAGATCATCTTGRTCCAATCCCCYTTGCGTGGGCAGGGTCACAGATCAAGGTGCTCCCCACCCCATCCAACCTGGCCTTGAACACTTCCAGGGATGGAAAGAAATGGCTAATTCAGTTTATTTCATAGGGTTATTTAAATGGGAATTTAAAGATGTGCACCATCAAAGAATTCCCTGTTCTAAAAGGCAGAACACACACTGAGTTAATGGTTATTGATTGTTCCTTTATTCCTTAGTTTCAGTGGGTTKTGAGGGAAGAARGTCGATTTTATCCTAGAACTTACWGAAAAGAAAGGAAAAAAAATCTTGCAAATATCTAAGAAACATTCCTTGATTTCTCAGTCAGAGCAAACTGGTGAGGGAGGGTGTTAAATTTTAGYGTTGTGCTGCTTATGCATTTGTTAACACACCCAGAAATAGTTGGGAGACTTGAATAATGTCTAGCAATCATGTCTTCTAAATTTATAMAAACCTGGCTTTATTTCCCCCCCCTTAATTATGCATTTAGAGCAATTAGAGCTTTCAGCAGACATTTCTTTTAAAAAAGGAATTTTGGACTTTGCTTTTCAGAATCTGTCACTCCAGATCGTTCCCACAAATGCTATTTATGACCAATAACTCCAAACGGTCTTGAAATACAACTGCCTCCACTCTGTCTAAACAATTTGGTGTTGCTGCCTGTGAAGGGGTTGGATTTTATTCCAAATACTTATTTTGRTTGTAGTTTGTAAATTTAAAGAAAAAAGTGGTAGCAGACTACAAGTAAGAGGCAATTTACTCCTCTGCTGTCAGGTGCTGTTGCTGTCATTGGTACAGAAAAGCTTCTGTGRGCCAAATTCATGGATCTGGGGTCAGGACTGGAAATTCATGTTGCAAAGTTGTTATTCCCTTGGGAATAACTTCCCTGCTGCAATGGGTTGGAGTAACAGTGTCTCTTGTCARTGCTCCCTTGTGCTTTGACCTTGCTGCTCACCTGTTACAGACCCAGGCTTGTAAAGGCTTACAAGTGTTYTTTCCTGATTTCTGTTGTTTCCCAATGTAGCTGGTCCATCACTAGGCCTGCTCTGATCCGAGGGATGGCGTTCACCTCTTCCATGAGCAGCGAGGAGATCTCCCACGAGCACATCACAGTGGAGGCGGCAGACAGCGGCCGGGGAAGCTGGACTTCATGCTCAAGTAGCTCTCATGACAATTTCCAGAATATCCCAAACCAGAAAAGCTGGGATCTCCTCAATTCCTACCGTCCCACRCAGCTGGACGGACCCATAGCCGAAGTGGATCCCACAAACTGTTACTCTGAGGAGGGGTATTTGTATTCCGAAGCCTTTTCCAAAGCCAACAGGCAATCAAAAGCCAGCGTGGAGCTCGATCAGTCCCGGCAGAGCTGGGCCTCCTCCAGCTCCCTGTCAGACACCTACGAGACAAACTATGGGACAATCAAGCGCAGGGGGCTGGAGAACTCCACRGCGGAGCAGACGGAGGGTTTGGACTCTAAAGCAGGCGCTGATACAGCTTACAAAACTGTTACATCCAGTACAGAAAAAGGCCTGATAGGTAAGCCAAGCCAACAGCTCGTGGAAGCTGCTACATCTGTTTTTCATTTTGATATTAAGTTGTTAAGAAATGACATCAGCAGGTCTGGGGCTGTCTGGCATGTTGAATTCAGCTTCCCACGTGGTTGTAATCAGARCACTACACAGTGTGTTTTCAAGACACATCCTTTTGCATTAGGAATATCAAGATAATAAAAAAGTGCACTTCCCCATCGCTTCAGGAAAACTGTCTTTAGGAAAATGTCAGGCAGTTCTTCTGTGTAGTATGGTATTTTGCTTTTTTGAATGATTTTGGAGGTGTACTCATCACTGTAGAAGTTCCTCTGACAAGGATCAATGACCCCATGCTCCTTACAGTACAGACTTCCCAGGAACCCAGAGCAAAGAGCGTGACTGCAGAGTGGTGTGGAGCTCACCTGCCTCTTWGGAGCTGGGACACCTTTCATCCACAGGGCTTTGGTCTCTGAAAGCTCCAGGGCAAAGAAAGATTCCTTTCCTGTCTTTGCTATTTTAAGGTGCCATTTATGTGATTAAACAGCTGCAGTTTGGCTCCTTATGAAAGGAAAAATCTTCAAGATGTTCTTTCAAATATGCATAGTTCTATCCAGCAAGATGTTCTTCCCCCATTCTCGTGAGTTCAGTAGCTGAAACTAAAGGAACTGGGCTAGCAGCAAGATAAAACATGGAATGCAAAGCTTTCTAAGACTATGAGTCAAGGGTGCAGCTGAAATGCAGTTTAATTACTGAGTGGATTGCTGGAGGGGTTTATGTTATCAAAGATAATTGCCTGAATAAACATTGCACTTAGGGCGGAGGTCTTGGGTTGTGTTCCTCCTTCTTGGCTTTGGAGAAGAAATTGTGGTGGAGCCTTGCAGAAAATTTGCTCCCAACTCACTGCTGTGCCTGTGCTCTGCCTTTGCAGCCTCTGAGATGTGTTAGGAGAGGGCAGGTTCACTGTTCAGTACATGCTGTCTTTGCTGACAGCTCTTGCTCTTCCTTTTAATTCTCTTTCTGTTCTGCACYGTGTTGCTGCGAGGAGCACTCACAGAGTGCTGGAGCAGAGCACATGTATGTCCTGTCAGGTAAAAATCTGATACAGGAGGRTATAATTCCAGGTTTTCAAATGCAAATCCATTAGCTGTTCACCATCACACAGTATGCCCAAGATACCTTCACTTTATTTCACCTTTTATAAAATACTAGAGTTTGAATGTGACAAATTATTCTTGCATTCCCCCAGTAGACAAAAGGTTAGCTCTAGAGAGCCTGAAGCTTTCTCCTTTGAAGGAGAACATACCCACCCTCATCATTCCTTCTGCAAATCCAGCCAAGACTGGAGCTGAGGTGAGGACCCAGCCCTTCCCCATCCCTGCAGGGAAGAGCAGACCCTCCTCACTTCCTGTGCTTTCTCATAGAGACCCCATTCASAGGTAGTTAAATGAAAATAAACCCTGGAATTCAACAGTATAAATCTCTGCCTGTACCCACGTGTTTCTGCTAAAGCCCAGACTGACTGAATTTGGGTTTGGTTGTTTTACTGTTAGCCCAAGCATGAGMTGAGGCCAGCAGGTATGAACCAGCTTGTGTTCCTGATTCTAAAACCTGGAATCTCACAAGTCTACAACACAGTAACAAATATTGCTTTGTTTTTCATCCCTTCACATTCTTCTAAGATAAGAAACTATTACTTTTGCTGAAATAAATGAAACTAATGAACATGCACTGTTTAAAATAGATCCACAGGAGGAATGCAAATTCACTTAACTAACAGATTAAAAAAAWTGCCTTGGCTTTGAAACTTTCCTGTTGCAACATGTGCATGGAAAAAAGCCCAATTTAACATGCAYATGAGCCCCAGACCTGGGGTGGGAGGGATGGGAGGCAACCTAAGAAAAGTTAAATTTTGGATTGAGAGCCTCTATGACTTGAACTGCTGCTGAACAGGGCAGGAAGGGAGAAGATGAATTATGTGGCATGGACATTGGAAATAAATAATATTGATTGTAGCCTTTTCATGRCTGCACAAGGTGTAATGCAGCCATTCCAAAGGCTATTTCCATGGCTGCTCCTGGTTATTTCTCACTTGTAAACGGAGAACATAGTTTAGATAAGGATATAAAAGAAAACAAAACAAAAAAACAAAGGGGAAAAAAAATAGAAATTAAAAGTATGGATGTGATAAGCAATTATTCACTATATGAAAATGTAAATTAATGCAGGCTCACTATAGTCTGCCTCATAGGACCAGTTTTATGTGATGCTATTTTTTTTTCTTCCTATAGCATAGCTGGATGGTTTCATGTCTTTATACACRTCAGTTGAAACGGTGATATTTTATTATAATGAGTTTGTGTTAAGCCACTGACCTCTTTTGGGTGATGAAGTGGATGTTGGAAGTCAACCAGCAGTTCTTGCTGTCTAACACTAGCATGCTGTGTGAAGTGACTTTGGGCTGGTTGCCTTAATTCCTTCTGTTTGAGTTTCCCAGCCTGCAGCAGGCAGCAGACTTGGCTGTGCTGGCTCTCCATYGTCCTGGAGAGCTCCAGAGCATCCCCTGGTGCAGCAGGGCCACAGGAGTAGGGACTGTAATGAGAGCTGTTAATTGCAGCCTGAATGCAGATGAGCTTAGAGTCCTGTTCCCACTCAGTTGGCATCTCACCTAAGGAGTTTATGGGTTCTCGTGCTACTCTGACCTATTAAAATAAATAGAAAATAGAAATGAAGGCATAAATACCTGCCTGCTGTCGTTATAACCAGTGTTTCTGCATTTGCATTTTGTTATCAGTTTCTGTTTTGCCATTGTAACATTTCATGATTTTTTAACGTTTTGTTTCCTTTGTTTTTTTCTTCTTTAACATTTCCATYGCTTATTTCTCGTGCCCAGTGTACTGTGTCACCTCACCTAAGAAGGACGATAGGTATAGGGAGCCACCGCCCACCCCTCCGGGATATATGGGGATTTCTTTAGCGGACATAAAGGAAGGATCGCCCCACCACCCACACCTCAAACCTCCAGACTATAGTGTGGCAGTGCAGAGGTCAAAGATGCTGCACAGTGACCTCTCTAGACTTCCAGCAGCTGCTGTCGGTAGTGACCCGGTGGCCTGTGTCTCCTCGAGGATGCCTCAGTGGCACGGCCGGCAGCCGTCCAGCCCCAGGCTAGCAGAGCTGCCTGACGCAGATAGTGAAGAGGATGGTAGGTGAACTCCTGGCTGGGGAGCGGGGCTGTGCAGGGGGCACTGACACCCACGGGCTGGGCTTTTTCTCGGGGCCTTCTTGGAGATTAAAAGCGAATTAATCTCGGATTCCACAGGGGTGTTTGTGTGGCTGCGTGCACACGCGTGGCTGTGTATGTCATGCAGAGCTGTGTGCATGTACATACACGTTCAAAGCCAAGAATGCCTTCCCCCTAGAAAAAGCATGTTGGCACCAARCAGACTCAAATKATATATAAATAAATATATAAAAATATACCTGTAAGATCTCCCAAAGTGCAGCTGAGACACATAAGAACACGTAGATACTGGTTTGGTTTTTTTTTTTCCTTTAAAATCTGTCCCCTCTCGAACAGTGATGAGACACTGACAGGCTACATGTGGAAAAACTCCAGTCACCTTGGGCTGATTAACTGGTGTCCCAGTGGTTTGGCTGGCATCAGGATGATGGTCTAAAATAAGTGATTTGGATTTGGTGGAGTRAACTCATTTCATTTGTATTCAGGTGTGCTGGCATTGAGCCACCTTATRCCTCAACAGATATTTTTGGTGGTTGAGTTTCAAAATATTGAACAAAATAATAGTAAACTTCTGTTCTTTTGGAGAGTGCATTTGATGAAAGCTGTGTTCTCTGCCTAACCTGGCCTGACAGTGTCTCTTCCAGTTCATTTTTCATGATCTTGTTTGAAGCAACAGCCAATGCTGCCATTGCAGCTCGGGGTGACCAAAATGTGAGAGGATTTTCTGATAAAGACTGCTTTTATATTGAATCAAAACTTACTTCAGGTCAGGGGAATTTCTGCTTAATTGTTTATCTGCTGAYTTGCTTTTAATTTCTGTGCACCGGTGTGATCTCTCTGTACCCTTTGCTGGTGAACTCATTTTTTTATTAGAATGTTGTGATCATTTCCTTCCATTTCAGTCTGATTTAAAATGAGCCTGTATTTAGAGTAAAACAATTTCTGATGCAAAATGATTGTATCTTGGCCTTTTAAAATATGTAAGCAGTATTTAACATATATATTAGTACTGCAGTTCAAACTTACAGTAAATGTAAAATTGTCCAGCATTAATTCCATTGTGTTTTTGATGTAAAAATAAGGAAGTCATTGCTTCAAACATTCAAATCCAAATTTTTCTAAGCTAAATTTAACTGTACGCTTTTAGAGACACCTATTTTACTATTTTTGAAGTGCTTGGTTAATTTTATTTGGGATTAAATGCTCACTGCATGAAAATTTGCTGGCTCTTTTCCCAAATCCATAGCTTTTGGCATACTGGGAGCTGCATGCTGGTAATTTTTGGAGGATCTGGGATTTTCTGTTTTGCAATATGTATTTATCGTATGACCATCATACCTCAGGCTGCAGAAGCTGTGGCTGCCCCATCCCTGGAAGGGCACAAGTCCAGGTTGGATGGGGCTTGGAGCAACCTGRAGGGTGTCCCTGCCTATRGCATGGAGTTGGAATGAGATGGTTTATAAGATCCCTTCCAACCCAAACCATTCTGTGATCATGTGATTGCCTGAGGATCTGATAAATGTGATATGGAATGTGTAGTGATCAATGATAAAGACAGTGAAAACACGCTGCTCAAGGGGTGAAGTTGTCACAGACCCACTGTGATCACATCACTGGGGGCTGCTCTGTGCACTGAGTGCCCAGGGTGGGGACTGGTGGAATAACTGCCTGTTTCTTTCTCYTGTTTTGCAGAAGATGAACAAGTATCAGCAGTTTAACCCTTGGGCTCTGTGTGTGAGCCACTCACAACACAAGGGACGTGGGGAGAAGGACTCATGGTTCCGTTAGCGACCGCTGACCACTTGCTGCTACTGACCTCAGACCTTGCCTCTGTCACAGACCAGATGGAACGGGTTGGATCACCTCTCTACACCTTCCTTCACTCTGCCACCACACCACAGAAGCTATTTCTGCCTGTGGAACAGAAAATCCTGTTCAAGGAGTGTGCTGACTGCCTGGATGCCATCATGGGTACCCAGAGATGGACCGAGCCTGGTGCGTTGGGGGAGGACCAGTTGTCACCACCACTTGAAACCTGGAAGCATTTTTCTGTATGATACCATATAATCCTTTGGTAGTTTCCATTGTCATTATTTTCTACATGACCGTTAGAAGTCTGAGAGTGTTATTTTACAAACTTTAAAAAAAAAAAAAAAGCTATCAAAATGTCAGCAAAAGCGAAGGACGTTGCTGAAGTATCTGAAAATAATTTATTAATTTAATTTTTTTTAAATGGGAATTTCCTTTATTTGCGTTGGGAGTGCTCTGGTTGGCTAATATAAATGTTTAGTCAATGTGGCAGTAAATTAGCTGCACATCAACTGTTGTGCTCTYGAAATAAACACAGAAAAGTAGAAAYGGGCCATTACAGGTGAAGAAATTTATAGATTTTAGAGTGGGTTTAGATTTAATATGAGTAGAGCCCAAAGCCCTGCAGAGCAGTGTGTCAGGCCAGCACTCCTGCTGCTCCCGTCCCACACAGACACAGCAGAAATCTACTGTCCTCTAAGGATTTTTAATTTTTTTTTTTTTAATTCTCTAGTTGCCAGCCAACTAAGACAATAGTTGGTGCTCTCCTCCCTTCTTAAGGAATGTTTGAAATGTGGAAGCTGTAGCTTATGGGGAGCATTTGGGGAGATCTGAAGCTCTCCCAAAAGATTTTTAACCAGGTTTTGCCCTGCAGAGTTCAACATSCAAAGCATGTTCTAAAACTCAAAACTCAGCTGTGTGTTGTGGTTTTTATGATCATCCCACACATCCTGGCCTTTTCCCAGAGTTGCACAGGATTTAGGTGCAAAGGTTATCTTTGAAAAAAATAATAAAATAATTATAAATCACCTACCTTTCACAATAAAATTTGTGAAACTGATTAATAAATRAGAGAGTGCTTATAGAAGAGCCTAATGCATTTTATGATGGATTAAAAAACCCTGTGGTGTATATCAGGAAAATACAGATGATCTCAAACCATTTTGTTTTAAATCCTAGTTAAAAATCCTGGTGTCGTTGATGTCAATGAGAGTTTTGACTTACAGCCAACCAGTATTAACCCATGATCCTCTAGTTTGACTGTARTCAAAAGAATTGCTTCTTTGATGTAAATTTAGCCAGCCAGAGTGCAGAGGGGTAGAACTGGAAATACCTACAGGTTTTTCTTTCCTAACTTTCTTTTCTTTCTCTCTTTACTTTCTTTCTTTTCTTTTTCTTTCTTTTTTGTCTCTCTTTCTTTCTGTACATGACACCCCATTCTAGTGTTAAAACCAGACATGAATGTGTGAATATGTATTTAAACATTTAATTGTAAATCTTTGTTGTGATGTTTACAGCCTRAGCTAGAAAGATGATGTTTGTCATTTTTACAGTGCCTCAAAACTGATTTCTATATCCATAGTTGTGAAAAGCTTTAAGGGTTTTTTTTTTTTAACCTGTATGTGTGCAGGGGTGTGAGGTGAATGCAACATTTTTGGAAAATGCCACAAGTACCAAAAACAACCCAAAGCCTTTGATGTGCTTTGTTCATAGCAGCTCGGGGCTGATGCAGCCAGGTGGATGTGAATGACCCAGCCTGTGTCTGCCCTCAGAGCAGTGCCAGGTCCAGCATTGCCTGCAATGTTCCTGTACTCCTTGGAATTGGGAAGGTGCAAATGAACAGTGATGCTGAGGAAGGGGATGCTTAATTTATAAACTCATTGGTTGGCTGTTTCTTGAATTTTTGGCACAAGTATCTGAGAAGCAAATGGTTGAAAAAATACATTAAAATCCACTTGAGGTATGGCATAATAAATGCATTTTGCTTTCTCGAGGCCTTAATGAATATAATGAACCTGCACAGGCCTTAATGAGTAAAGGTTAATGTGTCAAAGCAATGCAGGCAGAACAAGTRTTTTCAGCACATGCAATATTGATAATAGAACTGTTGAACTGATATTCCTGTGGGATGTAAATCCTGGTCTTGCCATCCCACCATCAGCTGTAGTTCCTCGTTAACTTCTACATGGAAACAGCAGGCTTTGTGGTCCGTCAGAAAATCATCTGCCTTGTGCCAGGTGAATGAAACCCTACAATTCCTTGGCCTTGGACGGGGAGCTGCAGCTGATCCCAGCCTGTTGAACAAAACTATAGGGGATGGGGGTTACTAAAGTGGCTTCCTTTCCCCCCAAAACCCAGTAGTGCTGCCTTTGAGGATGCAGGGAAGCCCCTGTGGGGAGCAGGATCAGGGTCTCCTGGCAGCCAGCAAGAGCAGCTGAATCAATCACCCATCCARCCATGGTGTTTGGTGGTGTTTGCACATCAACAGCATCCGTCTGTTCCACAGGGCTTGGCACACACTGAGGAGTTGTGGAATGAGTGAAAGTCTCGCTAATCATATTCTCCTAATAGCCACCACAGCTGGTGTACATAAATCATGCATAAACCATGGACACATGAGCTATTCCTGCTTCTCCTGCCTCGCACTGTGTGGCTTTCTGCTGCTCCTTGCTGGGCTTTTTGTTTGTTTGTTTGTTTGTTTGTTTTTAACTCAACCGATCACATTGATTGGGGCCAATAGCCAAATGTATTGTGTCTGGTGTGGGTTTGAAGAGACATTATCCCTTTTTTTTGATAATTCAGGCAGAAGCAAGCTAGTGGTTAGTACCTGTTGTGCACTGCTTTGTTGAAGTGATGTCGTCTGGACCACAGACCCTGACTTGGTACCTCTGCCAGGTTCTTCTGGCTCAGGCTCTGATGCTGATGAACAGTTATGGTGCCTCACGTTGTGTTCTTCCACTGCCATACCTGGGTTTGCTCACTCCCTTCTCGTCGTTTGCTCCTGACTTCTTGGTGAAAGATGCATTTCAGATTTTTGTGATTGAAGCACACAGTGTTTCGTTATAAATCTCAAATTTCCAATTAATTCCTGAGAATTTGTGCAGTGTAGTTTGGTAAAACTGAATTAGCCTCTCCAGTTGCAGACAGGGCAAAATGAAGTCACTGAACCTCTGAGCACTGGGTTTATCTCCTAAATACACAAAAGAATGGAAAGGCAATGACTCTGGATGTTTGCAGCTCACATTTCTGCAATGTGGACACATTTTGGGTGTTCGCCAACAATGTGAGGCCTTCCTGGCTCCTTCCTTTTGCCTTTACTCAGATGAGTTTGTGGGTGCGGCCTCACCTCGACTCTTGTGTGTGAATTTTGGGCACCACAATGTGAAAAAGACATGAAGCTATTGGAGAGCATCCAAAGGAGGACACGAGGATGGGGAGAGGTATGGAGAGGGGAAGCCTTACGAGGAGTGCCCAGGCCACTTGGTCTCTTCAGCCTGGAGAATAGGGGAGAGAGAGCTCATTGCAATCTGCAGCATCCCCCTGAGTTCTGAGTTCATCTGTTCACTCTCATAACCAGTGACAGTCCCGAGGGAATGGCCTGAAGCTGTGTCAGGGCARGTTTAGGCTGAGCRTCAGGAARAGGTTTTGYSCCCAGAGGGTGTTTGGGCACTGGAACAGCTCCCCAGGGCAGTGGCACAGCACCAACCCTGACAGAGCTCAAGGAGMGTTTGGACAAGGCTCTCGGGCACGGGGTGGGRTTGTTGGGGATGGGGCTGTGCAGGGCCAGGRGTTGGGATCATGATCCTGATGGGTYCCTTCCAGCTCAGCAGATTCTGTGATTCCAGCTGAGTGGTGCTGCATTGGGAGGTTCTCAGAGCCCATTTCTTGGGATGGGGTGTGCTGGGGTCCCAGAGGCACAGGGGGTCCCCAAGGCTGAACCTGCCAGTGATGCCACTTGCAGAGGAGCCTGTGGGGTATCAGGGGTGTTCCAAAACCTCTCCCAGCACCTCCCAGATCATTTTATTGCAGGCAACAGTGAGAAAACAACCCTGTCATTTAGATTTTTGTAAAACATTTGATTTTTTTAAAGGATATACTTACCACTGCCTTTGCAAAAAGAGAAGAAAAAAGGGATACTCTCTCTTTAGAAAAGCTTTACACATTATATTTTAGAACGCTTGTATAGAGGGTAATCTATCCTGAATTCCCAACCCAGCTTTTGCTTCTGTTGTGCTTTTTATTGTTTTATCTTTATTTTTGATATTCCTGGAATGCAGTTTAGCTTGGTATTAATTAAATTCTAAATATGTGAGCATATTGGCAAAACTGCACAGATGTAATGATATTCCAATAGCAATTGTACTGCACAAGTCAGTGATTGTAAAGTATTCTGTAACAAGCAATGTTTGTCTCCTATTTTTTGATACCTCTTACACTTATGTCTTTTAGAAAGACAGTGCCTCTGTATGCTTTTTGTATTTTTACTGAGTGATTGTAAATATTTGTTATATTTTTGGTTAAGAGAATGTTTAAAAGTACTGTTTATTATCCAATCTATTAATATGTTGGAATCAATAAACAATCAACATATATGAATCGTTTTCAGCAGCTGTTTTCTGGCAGCCAGGGGAGGATGGAGCTGAGGTGGTGCAGAGCTGGGGAGGGCCTGGTGGGAGTGATGCTCACTTCAGGGTCAGAGAGGAGCCACCCCTGAGTGATTTTATTGTGTTTTCACAGTGAAGACAATACAGACATGGGTTTTCAGAGGGCTGGAGCACCTCCTCTATAAAAACAGGCTGAGACAGCTGGAGTTGTTCAGACTGGAGAAGAGAAGGGTCTGKGGAGACCTTRGAGCCCCTTTCAGTRTCTAAAGGGCTCCAGGAGAGCTGGAGAGGGCCTTTGGACAAGGGGAAATGGCTTTAATCTGAAGGAGGGCAGGATTAGTTTGGATTTGAGGAAGAATTTCTTGCATATGAGGGTGCTGAGGCCCTGGCACAGGTTGCCAGAGACGCTGTGGCTGCCCCATCCCTGGAAGTGTCCAAGTTCAGGCTGGATGGGGCTTGGAGCAACCTGGGATMGTGGAAGGTGTCCCTGCCCATGGCAGGAGTGGAGGGGTTGGAGTAGACCTTGAAGGGTCCCTTCCCAYCCAAACCATTCTATAATTCTCTGATCTTTCCCACGTCCCTGGCTCCTGTGGCTGCTGCCTCCACACCAGCCCAGAATGACCAGACAGAGCCTGAGGGAGCAGCATTTGGTGCCTCCCTGACCTTCACCCTGTGCAGCACACACAGATGGAGGTGAGTGCAGGCAGGCAGGGTGGATGCACAGAGATGAAAATACCTTTCTCCCCCTCATTTTTGCACAGGGCCCGTGGTCCCTGGCCACCCTGGTGTGGTGCTGGAGGTGGAATGGGCAAGGGGAGCAGGAGCTGTGCTGRGAACCTGCCCTGGCTGGCATGGCCACTTCTGAGTGCATTTCCCCTCCATTCATGTACTGATCATACAAAAGGTAAGCACTGTGGGAATTTTATGGGTAAGGGCATTTTTTATCCAGGGAGCAGGACGCTTGTGTAATGAAGGATTCTTTGCTGGCAAGAAAAGCTTGCTTTGCAGCTTCCTGTGCTTTGCTGCCCAGTGCAAATGGCATTTTCCTCCCTGTGCAGCCCTTTCCCTGCCCTGGACAGGGGATGTGGCTGCACATATGCTGCAGGTCAGATGAGAGCTGAGCTTTGTCTTCACCATCTTACTCCCCCAGTGGGATTTTCCGGTTTTAAATCGCAGAATGGTTTGGGTGGGAAGGGGCCTTGACACTCACCCAGTTCCAGCCCCTGCCGTGGGTGAGGATGCCTTCCASCAGCCGGGATGCTCAGAGCCCTCTCCAGCCCCGCCTTGTTCTCAAAAACTTGTTCAATACCAGCCTGGTTCTGTTCCCGGGAATCTTTGATTTTGGGCAGTTTCTGGCGGGTGGTTAGGTTTTTTGTTTTGCTTTTTTTAACGTCTGAAATCTTCCGTTGGGGTTGAAGCAGGCGAAGGAGCGGAGCTGCCAGCAGAGGCCAGCATTGGCCGTGGTTTGTGCGCGCTGTGCTGCGGGGACACGGGGACATTCTGGGGGTCACCTGCTGCTCTCCAGCCACGGGCAGCCCTGGACCCTCGGCAATGTCTGCAGGGACAGTGTGGAGCCCTGYGGTGMGGGAGGATGTGGGGTTTTAGCCGGKCACTTTGCATTTAGGGCTGTCCGAGGCGCCCGGTCCCGATTTCTCCCTCCTGTGCCTGGATGCTCCCCTTTCACCCGTGATGGTTATCCCACCCTGGGGCAGCCGAGTCCTTTTCTCCTCCGAAGGGAGGCTGGGCAGTGTTTCTTCCCGTGGCAGAAGGATCAGCAGCTGGGAGGACACTGTGGGAAGGCAGCGAGTCAGTGTCAATCCGATTTTGTTTGAAGATTTAACCATTGCTTGTTACACTGCAGTAGTGCCGTGTGTTATTTGCTCACGGAGAAGTCGAGAATTGTCCCTCCAAAGCAAATACGAAAAGAGAGATGAATTCCCWCTCCCTCCACAGGAAATTGCTCACCCGGCAGATGCTGCCTGCTGGAATCTGTTTTCTCTTTGCCGTAAGGGAGAAGGCAAGAGCTGCCCTGGCAGCAGCAGGGTCACAGCCCGAGGTGTCCCCACTGCCTGGGGACTCGCCCAGAGGGCTCTGCAGACAGGGCAGCCAGTGCTTTCAGCCACTCATCATTTATTAACAGGGKAAAATGTGCTGGAGAGACCATGTTTGAGCACCAGGAGGACTAAAACCTGTCCCTGCACCATTCTYCCCTCTGGGTTGAATTCCTACAGTTTTGGGGCTGGAGTAAATGGATTTCTCCTTGTCCAACCTTAATTCAGGAGCAGCACTACAGCTCTGTGGTGTTTGTGCCGTGTGCTTTCAGGCTGTGGCATCAGTTCTTGTGGTCTGACCCAGAATTTGCAGTATTTTCAGCTTTCCCGAAGATCCAGGTCCTGGAGGCACGTGATGACATGAACTGATGACATTTTGGTGTGTGGGGG